CAGATAAAATGTTGTGGATTGCATCACTGGTACCATTGACTTGAATGTGTGCAACAGTTCGAGATAAAACGATAATCAAGCCCTATTTTTTAGAATTAATAACCTTGGAGTTCTCAATAGTTTCACTACAGACGCATAATGTAAGAGATACCTAGACAATTCGTTATTTGCAGCAAGAATCAACCATTGTTAGCATTACGTAATACGAAAAAATAAAGCAACCGTATGAATTCCCTAAAGAGCTAATTATTTCAGATAGCACTATCAGTTACTGATAAAACATCACGAGTGAATGCAATCCGAAACGTCTAAATCTTTTGAGAATTTATCTATAGTTGCTTGACTATTTTGTATCATGTAATATTGTAATTAAATGTCTACCTTGAGCTTATATTAACGTATTGTTAGCACTGTCAGGGTTATAAACCATTGCTGTAAAGAGCGTGTAATATCGCGTTGAGGAGCCATTGGACTAGAAAACATCAGATGGAATTCTCTTCACCGTACCCTTTGAGGCAACGTACCAGACGGGAACATTTCCCAAGCGAAACACAAAGTTATGAACTGCGTGACCAGAAATCATCACCTATGTTTGGGGCAACCGACTATGGATAAGAAACATTCTGAAAGCTCAGTGGTATGATATTACCGAGGAGACACGTTCTTACCAAATTGAAACAGGTTCGATTTACTGTTAAAAGTAGGAAGAAATGAGGTCTTGCCGAGTTGAGGTACCGTTAGCATTGATGTTGTGATGAAATGGTTATCATTTCCGTAGTTTGGCTCTGTACAGTGATTATGTTTACCTTCACAGAAGAAAAACATATGGTTTTTACTCTGTTTCTTCTTATTCTCCTCCAAAAAAATAAGGTCAATGACCTGAAGCAGACGTCTGCCACCATGGTAACTAGTATTGAGTTACATCGTGTTGCAATTTTAAAGCAGGAGGGATTTAGACTCCTGTTCCCATATGTATGAATTTGAATATGTGTAAGAATTAACAGGGCAGGCCATATGCAAAGGCAAAAAATATGCATTTGCTTTGCAAATGTTACGTTTTCTAGTTTCTACTCGCTTTTATTATTACTTCTCGAGCAGGCGGTTCACCGATAGTCTCATTACAACACACCCTAGGTGGGATGGCGTCTATTGTTTATTTACTTACTAGTTACGGCTTTCTTGATAATATAACATGTTTGTTATATCGGCGTAGTATGTCAAAATTATCATTGATATAACGCTTTAATTTGTCTGGTGGAATGGTGAAATATTTAACGCAATGAAACGTTTAGCAGTGACGAATCTAGGAGAACGTTCAGTTCGTCATAAGCGTCCTCCCAGCGCACATTATCCAGGAAATACGTTAACGTGATTTGTGGAATACCCTTTGGGGTGGAGGATTACCCAAATCCATCAAGAGGAAAGGAAGGCACTATGTTCTGCGGGTTCAATCAGGGTGAAAGGGTGTAATAGATGTTTCTGGTCGACCAGAAAGCTGTTTTTCACGGTTAGTGGGGGTTAAAGTGCTCTATTACTATTTATCATACTATCTACAACTCTCGATCTCGCTAAATTAATCAGCAAATAAAGGTAGGTACTCTTGAAATTATTAGTTGCATTCTTCCCTAACGTTAGTGTCAAAAATACGGTTTGATCGGTGATACAAAATTAAACTCCTTCTCTTTCTTATCGCCGCTTGTAAAGACGGTAAACATGTTTCTTTGTCGTGGTATTTCATTAATCACATCAGCACACGCTAGTATGCTACATTTCCAGCGGGACTGTAGATAACACAAAAAGCCCGTACAGCCGGCTGTAAACCCGTGCATACGCCCGCCCACAGAAACGCATTAGAGAAAACAAATTGGGTAGTTGTGCGACTGCTTTTAGAGATAGCCGCGTGGAGGCCTATCAAGCTTGAAATGACAAAGTCTCAGAGGGCATCTCTGCTTGAAGGTCGGGCCATTTATCTTGTCTCAAGGTGGAGTACAGATATAACGAGCCTCGAAAAGTTTCCTGGCCTTTAGCTATGTCCCTGTTGTACGCACGATGACCTTTGTTACGAGAAAAGTTTCATGTGGATATATTTCTACGGCACAAATACAGTATATTTGGTACGACATAGATCCTTCCTTTTACATCAGCCTAGCTACATAAGTACGAATACAGTGCAGTTATACACCACGTTATGCCACTCTTTCTGCCTGCTACTTAACTACCCCTAGCTTTGAGGATCACATATTTTTAAGATAATATTAAAGAATTCATGTAAACTTTAAGGTTGCGGTCATGGTTGTTTTAGTTATCTGTAAAATCTGATTTAAAAGCTTAATGTAATTTGACGAGCATTCACTGATACAAGTTGATTTTCTTTGGTTAACGAATGATTTTTGGCAGGCATAATATTCCATACAGTAATGTTATCTGTGAACTAAACATATATAATAACAATAAACTTTATTGCGTATCCATACCCTATATATATGGGACAAATGCACTACGTTAGATGACTAAGGTACAGGGGTAGGAGTGCTACATCAATTTGCTACGTCGCTATCTATATGCAAGATTTCTCTTTTTGAAACAAACATGGGCAAATTTAGTTTTTCATTAACGTCGTGGTTCCTGGATGCCATACACTATATTTGAACAATTCTCTTTTCGGTAAGTGCGATATTTCTGTTCTAATTGCAAGGAACTAATGGAAAATTTGCGTATGTTTGTGTATATTGGGCATTCTATAAGAAAATGTACATTCTAAAACAAAATGTGCATCACCTTCTACACATTCTGCCATTTGCTGCAACTCGCCCAGGGCATCTTATATTCCACTCACGACTGCCTCGTCGCTAGCTTTTCTCAGACGCAGACCGTCCTTTATAAGTGTAGCTCCTCTACTCATCATACTTACCGCCATCTCCTGAAAACCGCATGTTTACCTGACACGACTGCCTGTGTGTGGGCGTACTGCGTGGGCGACGTGTACGCCAAAGACTGGCGGCAATCATAGTTAAAGCTTTGTGAACTAATAGCACCGCCAGACTCCCCAAAAGCCACGGGATTTGGAAAGTAAATGCAGCTGCGTATCTTCGCTTACATTAAAGGGGATTCTTTTTCCAAGTAGGCTTATCAAATGTGGGAATCGTTCTTCTAGACTTGTGTAAGTCTAAAGAGGCTTGCAAGTAGAAAGAAGCAAATGCTATGTGACACATTTTGCTCTATCCGCGTTCTTGACAAATTTATCTCGTATTAGTCAAGTGACTTTGGGGAATTATGTTTTCAACGTTTATAAACAAACAATTGTGTTTAGAATAGTGTATAGTTTAACTTCGGTTTTCGACTTGCATCTGTGAAACACGAACACAAGAATCCACGCTGATGTGCTTTAAATGTTGAGATAATTCCATTATGCATCGTAGCAATACTGTAACAAAATATATGCATGGAGATCACATTTTGCTTGCAGTGACAGTTCAAAAGCTTTGGGCGTGTTTGATTCACTAAGTTGAAACACTGTTCTATGGTTGTCTTGTTAACTGGTAAAAATACACTATCTTCCCAAAACAGTATGACACTTATCAAAGAATCTTTGAGATGATGTTAAGAAAATCATACCTTTTCTTTGAATTGTAGTCATTTATGGTAACAGAAAGTTTAAGACTACAAAATTGTATTATGCAAATTATTAACCATATCATAACTAATTTTTAACCAGTCATACAAACTACATGTATGTCTCAACTGTTCCAAACCTGTTAATGTTATTCTTCAAATATAGAAAAAAATATAGAAGACATATCTGCATCATATAACATTATACACATCATATGTTTTCGACATACTCTCTGAAAATTGATTCTACATGAAATGGCAGCTTGTTTGGAGTGTAAAGGCCACTCGAAGTGAGACAGCTTGCAAATTGCATCTTAATTAGTCTCATTACCCAGACATCAAAGCCATTACCAAGAAGATGACCTTTCAGCATGAGCAGTGGAGCATGTGTCATCAGTCCACGTACACACTAATGCATGCTGGCAAGAGCTGCCACTGTGGTAAGGCCACAGCAAGGAAATATTATGTATGACATCCTCCGCAGACTCAAAATGTAATGCAATAGGGCAAAAGAGGGCAGGCTAAAAAAACAAAACAAGATTCCTACATTTTCAAATTTTCACATCATAAACCTTGTCAAACGAGGAATCATACCTAAGTTTACTGCCAAATAATTTAACATCCATTTCTCACTTAAAAAACTTAGAAAGACAAGTTTTAAATCAATGTACAAATGGTTTTGATTCAGTGGGAACATCACATATACACAGCCACCATCACATAAAAGGAATTAAACATTTCACTGCATCAAAGTAAAAGACAAAACAATAGATCAGAGCCTTGTCTTGTTTCCTTTCTTCATATTTATATGCCATCCGGCACAGCAACAGACATCTTTGACCACTGTCAGAGGGCAACAGAATTTCTTGTTTTCATTTCGTGCTGTTGTCATCCATAAAAATTTCTTGCTGTGGCCTAATGTAGATTCATGGTGCAGCAGGTGCCTGTGAAACTGACATTTAAAGCAAAGTCATACACCATATACACCTCAAGAAGGGCAAGGTTCTTTCACATATAAACTACTGAACAGAATATGGTGAGCAAGGCAAGATGTACAATGTATGTTGCTCAAAAATGTCAGCAATGTTGCCTAGGCTACCATGTGTTCCCTTGTTACAAACAAAACAAAATAAAATGAAAATAAAATGTCATTTGTGCATGCACAGTTAGTGCCTGATGAATCATCATCAGATTGTTAAGCCTTAATATATTAGCAGCTGCCGCCATGCCTGCAAAATTGGTATAGGTGGGATTTATATTAGGCGAAAAGGTCTACTTGTAGATGCATGTAATTATGATCCATGCAAAGTCATTTCTTTCTATCTTATGAACATTGACACCTCCTGCATCAAAGCATTTATACATGAAGTAAACTGCCCCAAAAATATTTTCAACCATCATAGTTTCTGTACTCAAAATGTAAGAATGCTGACACTGGCTGAGGTTGATTAATGAAACTAAGAAATGGTGTTGGTAAGGGGTGGGGGGCATTTTCTTCTAAATTAAATGATTAGATGAAATTATTACCAATCACCCTGGAAATCAAATATACCCAGTGTGTTGGGCATCTTGACACTGGATGTAGCTGTCAGAAAAAATATACTCTTTAGAACCTAATTAATTTTTCTTGTGAGATAACAAATTAGGTTGCTTTGGCTGTTATTAATTTGAAGGAGGAGGAGGAGGAGGTGGTGGAGGGGGTGGGAAAGGAAACTGCATTGGCGGGAACATCTCTTGGGGTGGGGGACCTGAGTAGTGGTGAGGGTGAAATGAAGGTCGCCCCCCTCCCCCCTGTCCATCCCTCATGTGTGGTGGTGGTGGAGGTGGTGGTGGGGGGAAAGGTAGCCTCATGTTCGGAGGCGGAGGATTCACATGGTGTGCGGGAGGAGGAGGTCCGTAATTCAGAGGCCTCACATTCATAGCATGGGGCTGCTGATTCCAACCAAAAGTTGGAGGAAGAAATGGGGGAGGGGGGCCTGGAGGTGGGCCTGGGAATTGGGGTGGATCAAAGGGTGGGGGGTACTGTGGGACATTGTAGTCATGCTGGGGCCGTCGGGACCACTGTTCCTGACTGCTATGGGAACCGTGCCACCCGCCCCTCCAACCACTTGGTCCTGGGCCTGTAGCAAAACAGAAATTCAAATGATTGTTATCATAAGTTTATTGCAAATCAAGGCCCGAGAGCTAATTTCAAATACAAACAAGAAGCCATAGGCGACAATTCTCCGTGAAGTATTATATATTGCAACAAAAAGAAGTAGCCATTGGCGACAATTCTCTGTGAAGTGTGATAAATCGAACAAAGAAAAATTGTTTAAACGCGCGTCGGCTCAGTCATCTTAAGACGCAACAACCAATCAGAGATGCGAGATGCCTACACGTGACGCGGGAAGGGCGCGCGATGCCCGAAATATTTTTGCGTCAATATTCAGCGCCGTGATTCAAGAGATTAATACCCGGAAACAATTTTTTTCTTGTTTTGAACGCATTAACATGCATTTACGCTAATCTAGTATGATTCAGGGTTACTTTTTTTTTAACCTGCCATGGCCAGATTATCTAAAGATGTGTGTATTGTGTGTACAATCTATAGAAAGAGAAATGTACATCAGGTCCGATCATCCGATTTTCACGTTTCGGTTTTTTGGACTCGGTTCATGAACGTATTTTGGTTTGGCTCCTGGAATGTGCGAAAAAAATGACTCCCGGGACTGTCTACAGGGAACACTCGCACATTCGCGGTGTATCAGGACAGCGCGACTGGTCGTCATTAGCGCAGTAACAGTTGCATAAACGGACGAAACCATTTACAAAGAATGGGGATGTTTACGAAAATAAGCATTTACTCCAATATCAAAACAGCTACGGTAAAAATAAAAAGACGTGCATCATCCCGGACATAATGCAACACCACATGCGAAATTACACAGAAATGCGACGTACGGAAGAATGCGTTTTGGCTGCGAACATCTTCCAAAAAACTTGGCATCTCTTAACCATGGGCAAAAACATCTGGAACCACTTATAAAAACCACCCCGTATCTGCATGAACTTTTTTGAACCCCACTGCTATTCCAAACAACGCGTTTTTCTGGACCATTCCAATTCGCCTCGTAATTGTAGGGGTGCGTCTGCGATATTACATTGACCGCGAAAGCAGCAACGGCAAAAATACACATTCGTGCATCAACACGGGCATGCCCGCAGACGGCGTATAAAATTGCGTGCCGATTACACAAAGAGAACCCAGTGTTTTGACTGCGAACATGAAAAATCAGCCGATTACAACACTCCGTCCGGAGGTCCTGACCTCCTTCACGGAGTAACAACATGTATGAAAAAGAAGATACAATAATATGAGAGACTATGTACAAAGTTATTATCAATACTACATTCTACAACATACCTGGTACTACTTTTACCTGGTACTCCAATTTGACTTCTTGTTTTGAGGCAGTGGGAGATGAATTTACCCACTTCATCATAATGATATGGGGGTTCTTTGATTTTAGTAGTAAGATTGTTTTCTCTTGGTGGGAGATAGTGGAAAAGTAAGGGTGCATTTTGGACATGGTGGTAAATAATTGTTTTCTGATATCATTATGGAACAGTGTTAATAAAACATTATCACAACATCTAAAACTCCTAACTGTACATGTCATATTATGCATCAGGATAATTTTCACTGCAATGTTCTAGAAGGATAGTTAAAGGGCATAGTTAAAAATGTTCAACACGTACATTAAAAATTCTATGGTTGGCTGTGTATATGCAAGGACATTATATAGACATTATATAGCCTATGTAATGTCCTTGGTACACGCTTGTCCTCTATTGCCCAGTACCTGTTTACCTTTAAAATATGCACAGAAAAAAATGACCCTTGAAGGACACACAGAACTTGTACATTAAAGGCTCTGTCTAGCTCCGTAGGGTGCATTAGTCTTAGGAGTCGTATGATGGACTCCACAAATGCAATTAAGATTGTATTCAGATTGCATGGTAGCTGATGCCTTGGCATTGTATGTGTGGACTACACTGTGTCCAAATTGAACACATTAAAGGTCCTGCACTGCAGTTGAGTGATTCTATAAATATTACTGTGTACAACATTCCAAGCTAGGCAGACTACTCTCCATAAGTGCACATCATTTTGAGGCAAAATGTCTGGCACTACATCACAATAATGGTGACATTTGAGCCCAGATATTGGAAATGTAGCACTGAAAGGTTTGCAAGTTTGGGAATAAATGAAATGAGAAATGTGTTATCAATGGTCAATCACAATTTGTTAACCCCCCCTAGTGCTGTGTACCTAAACCAACGTTCAAGTCCAGAGGTTTAGGTTAATGACATATGCAAAATACAGAAGGGACTTCTCAGTGAACATTTCCCAATGGAAAATGGGGTACCTACCGAAAGATTTTGTAGCGAGCACTGCACTAACAGGATTTAGAAGCAAGATATGTTGTTTGTTGGGCACGTCTGGGCAAAACTGTGGCCACATAATTTACAGAGGCCGACACTTGACTTTACCCAACGGCAATGTTTTCTTCATTTTGCAGTGCAAAATTTTGACTGTCTAAGATTATTTAACAAAAAGTAGAATGTGACATGATTTTTTTTGTCAATCCAGAACTAGTTCCAGACATTCATATTTTTTTTTGACTTGAACCTAAACATGTTTACAAGTCTGGAACTTGTTCCAGCAAACCAGTACACAGCACTAACCCAAACCACTCCCAAAAGACTTTAAGAAAATCTACAAGGACATAGAGTACATAAATTTATCTCCAGAAAGAATATATAGACATGCATATTAGACTACATGTACGATACATGTTTAACCTTCTCGCATCTGGCTAACTCGTGGCCAATAGATAATCAATACTATTAGCCAAATGGCTACTTTGGTGCATGTGCTCAAGTCAAGGTTATAAAATATATGCCCTGTTTAATGCACCTTGTATAATGGTGCATTAATTCTAGTTAACTTGAATCTGATGTTGTATCACATATGATTAGAACATCAAAAATATATGTTTGAACCATTCCTGAATTGCAACATTACAAAAAAGATTAATGAAAACAAAAAGTGCATGTTTGCCAAATAACATATTTTTTGCAGAGCCTTCAGTCCTAAAATGCAGAAAATCTGACTATTCTAAGTTTAACATTCATCTCTTCTCTAAGCCCGTCATCTTGTCAATGAAATTAGACACCGGGTATTGTTGAATTTATTTATGTGACAGCAGCGTTATTAAAAGCATACTGGCAAGCTTAATACTGTTAATCCTATGAAGTTTGCTGAGACTTGTATTTTGTGTTCTACAGAAAATGGAGGTTTTCAGTGTTTAAAGTTTGCAGGGGGCACAGAGAGTGTATTGTTCTGGAAAATCTCAGTTTCTTGCTGTACAATCAAATGTCATGGTGTAGAGGTTACCACAAAAACCATACATTCAAAACGACTGCAAATGTTTTCAGATTTACAGTATTTCACCAGTAGACATTGCATTCCTTATCTTCCAGCTAAATTGACGCTTGAAAAATGGTGCAGAAATCCTCTTTGTGGCCTTTGCCAGAAGATAACAGTATTAGAACGTGAAGCTGTGGGTAAGAACAGGGACAATCTCAAAAGAAATTGTGTTTCTATATGATAAATTGATCATTTTCAGGGGGCAGTTTTGAATGATATTGCTCAATGGTTATGTTCCCTCGTATATAACAGCACTCGAAATACTGGGTGCATGTGTACCTTAGTGCAGTCAAAATTGGAGCCGTGCACCCAAGTTTTTCATATGGGTGCACCAGTGCACCCAAATATTTTCATAGACTGTAGTAATATACAGCATGTTCTTAGCATCTAAATGCCAATAAATTCTAAAATCTTTCTTGTAGTATTTCTTTAGAAATGAAACATTATAAAGAAATTTTGCAAACATTCTAACAATCTTATTCTATATGGTGCATCAAAAAAAATTTTTGTGCTCAGAATTTTTTGCACTTTAAGTGTAGCTATTTTTAAAAATAATGAATTTCAGGCCCTGTATAAAAAGGAAGACTCAAGATAACAGTGCAGTCATACATCTATATCTTTACTTTTATATGTAACCTTGAAATTCAAAATAAATTCCACAAGCTTCTGCAAGTAATATGGCTATGGTAAACCTACAGATGTTGCAGCTAAATTAGTTTTTGTCATAAATTTTGTCTGTAAAATTAGAATCTACATTTATGGAGGGATTCTAATTATGTTTCTCTATCAATCATATATTTTAGCATGGAAGCATATTTATGTACTTTATGAAAGGTTATGAGGGTTGGACATCGTAATAACAGATTGAATATAAATGTGAGATACGTAATATGTGTTATACAATATGTGACATTTGACTAAATTGGTATATGCCTATTTTAATTTTACTAGTATGTATGATTACAAAAGACATATGCAAGATTCTATCCAAGATATTTGAAAGCATTTTATCACATTTGACTGGCCCCCAAAAATTAAATGAGTCTTAGGTGGATGATAAACATTCTGTAAAATTAGTTTGTTGTAAGTTATCATTCCAGTGTAGATGTATTTAGATGTAGATTAGATTTAACAAAAGTTGCTAATAGTGGGCAATCGGTACCAATAAACGAGCTGTAGACTGTCAATCAACACTAAAAAGAGCTCAAAATAGCCATTCAGCACCAAGAAAAGGTCTGGGAATGGCCAATCAGCACCAAGGATAGGTCTGAGAATGGCCAATCAGCACCAAGGAAAGGTCTGAGAATGGCGAATCAGCACTAAGAAAAGGCCTTAGTATGGCCAATCAGCACCAAGGGAAGGTTTGAGAATGGCCATTTAGCACCAAGGAAAGGTCTGGGAATGGCCAATCAGCACCAAGGAAAGGTCTGAGAATGGCCAATCAGCACTAAGAAAAGGCCTTAGTATGGCCAATCAGCACCAAGGAAGGTTTGAGAATGGCCATTCAGCACCAAGGAAAGGTCTGGGAATGGCCAATCAGCACCAAGGAAAGGTCTGACAATGTCCAAAACAAAGGGCTGGGGATAGCAAATTAGTAACATTAGTAATGCTTCAGAATGGCCAATCAGGGCCAAGGAAATACAAGAGAATGTTAGTACCAAAGAAAAAAAATATTTTAAAAAGCAATAAATAATGTGAATATTACATATACTTGACTAAAGCTTTTTTATACATTGAAAAATTCTATCTTTTACAAGCAACCACAGTGCAACTAAACTTTCAATGGATAAAAATGGGCAGCAGTACTAGATGAAAATTGGATTTATCTGCAGCAGAAAGATAAGGCAGCACCATGGACTTTGATGTCAGACTCCACAGATGTTATCGGCGGGAAATGCATGAGATAGTGGACTGAGGACATTTGAAGGTGACACTAAAGACAGGACAGAGTCAGTAAAAAATGCAGCCGTTCTGATTAAATGATATTTTACGCTGCGAAGGGCACCATTACTACATTCTGGGTGGCAGGAAATAGTTCAAGCCGAGTGTAGGAGATATTTGATGTCGTTGTTTTGTAACAGTATGTTGAACTTATGGTGAACTTAAACCTCAGAATTTCAATTAGGCCTAATTGTCTTTCCTGTTTCCCAACCCTAGAAAAAAACTGTCGACCCTAGCCTTTTTTGGGTGGACCCCTGCAAGGGACATTTTTTTTGAGCTGATTGACCTTTACTAACTCCATGAGGCCTTAGGAAAAGCCAAATGGTCCAAGACTCCTTCATTTCACATACAACACTAATAGGCTAGGACACTTAACAAAGGACACTTGCTATACAGTACTTTGTTACCAACTATAAAAATATTAATGTAGGTGTATTCTGAGACATATATAGCCAGTTCCTTTACTCTCCAGGCAGAATTGAACACTGGCTATATATATATATATAATATATAATGGATACTGCCTGGCCAATTTGATACTGTCTTTTTGCCATCTTAGGATCTGCTTGGAGATTAGAGTTCTTTAGCATTCTGGAAACTGTCATGCAGATACCTTGGTTATAAAAAAAAATACCTTGATAATGTTGACTTGGGGGATAACCACTGTCAGTTCTGGGAAACTCTGGATCTCTGTGGACACAGTAAGAGGTTTTGACAAACATTTTGATCAATCATAAAGATACATGGAACTGTGTGCATTTCAAAATTTCATGTTCTCATACCAAACACATATATATTGAAATAATTAACAAAAGAAAACAAAGTTATACAATTTGCATACAGGTATACCTATACAATGTCAGGTCCAGATAACATTCCAAATATACCTACATAGCATGCACAAGGCAACATTAGGCCATGTTAATTTCATAATAAACCACCTAGATTTCATAATAAATGCAATTTTCTTTTGCCAACCTTTTTTGTTATTTGCATGCTCGCATCAGTTTTGGGGTTCCCAGAGGATGTCATCAATTCAATCAAATCAACATGGCCTTACTGAACATTCTGCCTTGCAGAGATACATAACAAGCAACCAGCAACCAATAATTCAGATCACACCTTTATAATTCATATAATCTGGTCAACCTGAAATCATCTGGGTAGACTATGTGGTATGTACAACATCATGTGTTTTACCAACCGATATAAAAGGACAGACATTACTGTTACTTTTTACCCTGACACAGGTGTAGTTTAGGTGATAAGGCACACGCATGTCTGGCACGATTACCATTTACACAAAGGCCATGTCTCATTTAGCATCTATAACAGGTGCAATTTGTCCTGATTGTCTCTTATTACAGGGAGCGAGTGTGACATGCATTTGCTAAATGGTTTCTCTGAAACCTATCACAATGGAACAGCGATATAAGATACATCATTTGCGTTCTGTACAGCCATTCTTTATAATAGCAATTTGTCTAAAGCAAACCTGAAGCAATCTTGTCTGCATGTATTCTGTTTAGTGGCAATGTGACTTTCAGAATTAGTAGAATGTCATGTAAATTCACACAGACAAGACCTGTCCTTGGTGCTGAACACCATTCACACAAACATGACCTGTCCTTGGTGCTGAACACCATCCACACAAACATGACCTGTCCTTGGTGCTGAACACCATCCACACAAACATGACCTGTCCTTAGTGCTGAACACAATCCACACAAACATGACCTGTCCTTAGTGCTGAACACCATTCACACAAACATGACCTGTCGTTGGTGCTGAACACCATCCACACAAACATGACCTGTCCTTGGTGCTGAACACCATCCACCCAAACATGACCTGTCCTCGGTGCTGAACATCATCCACCCAAACATGACCTGTCCTTGGTGCTGAATACCATCCACACAAACATGACCTGTCCTTGGTGCTGAACACCATCAACCCAAACAGGACCTGTCCTTGGTGCTGAACACCATTCACACAACCATGACTTGTCCTTAGTGCTGAAGACAATCCACACAAACATAAAAAAATAAACTGAAACTGAAGCGTGACCTGTCCTTGGTGCTGAACACCATCCATACGAACCTGACCTGTCCTTAATGCTGAACACCATCCACACAAACATGACCTGTCCTTGGTGCTGAACACCATCCACACAAACACACACTCACTCCTTGGTGGTCAAATAAATCCCTTCACACACACAGACAAACCATCTGCCCCTGGTACCAAACACCATCCACACAAACATCATACTTCATACCACTTATAAAGGCCTGGACCCTCTTAAGTGCCTTGGGACTAATGTACACTCTCATTAAGGGCTTTGAAGTGCTGAATTCAGTACAGAATTTTTTGGGCTGTGCGCAGAGGGATTCAATCATGTTAAGTATAACAGTGCTGAGTGCATGCTATGGACTATGTTGCAATGTCACCTTGAAACAAGGATTTTAAAGGGTGCAACACAATTTTAGCGGATGTACAGCAGTTTATTTACTATGTACATGGTCATCTCCTTATATACAATGTGAACTGTCATTCAATTTAAATGTGCCATTTGTACTTACTTGTGTTTGAATTTGAACACACTTCTCTGACAGTCTTACCTTTTAAATGCCTTTCTTGGTTTGGGTTTCTTTCCCTTGGCCTCCTTCAGGCTTTTCTTGGCCATTTTTTCTTGTTCATCATCACTGTAGTCCAAAAACTTGGTAAAAACAGGAAGAAAAAAGTTAAATGTTTAAGACAACACATATTTCACGGAATATTTAATGGAATACTAGTATTCCAGAAAATTAATATACTGTGAAGGTATATTGTAGTGTAAGACTGGACAGTTTCTATATCAACTTAGGAGAATTCTTACCATAATTGTGTACAAACAAATAGTTTACATGGTAGACATGATAAAAGAGCCACCTAATGACATACCCTGGCACTGCACAACCATAGTTCTATACAGTAGCTAACATGGCTGAAGAAATCTTTAAATAACAGTAATCAAACAAATTAGAAGGTCTTCTTTTGCCCGTGCTACCCATGTACTTTGAAAACAAAAGTGATACATTAGTTCACTGCATTTGTGATTAATGCAAAATATTGGTGGGTGGTCAAAATATTATATTATACTAAGCAAATTTGGTCTAAAGTACAATAGATAAAGCTAATGTTATGCCCAACCTCAGGTGGTGGTTCCTGGTCATTCTTCCAAGAAGCATCTGATCCTTTCTGCCTAAGAAAAAGAAAAATGTATTACAAGCCAATTTTTACTATTTACTGGCATCCTACACCAAAATGTTAGGGCTAGATGAAAAATGAAGTGTCCTCATGCAAGTTTTATATTGTTAAACTCTCTTGTATAAGGTGGGTCACTAGAGATCCCCAAATTCTAAAAAAAGAAAGAAAGAAAAAAGATAATCCTTACCTACTGACCCTAATTTTTTGATTGAAGAATTGAAACAGGAAACACAACAATTTTTCCTAGGCCTTACAATATACTAAGTATGTCTTCAATATACCAAATTTGTTTTCAGGCATAATTTTTATTAACAAGAAACCTTTGAAGGTAATACATAAAGCAAAAAAAGGATAAAGCAAGACTTACTTGATGAGATTCTGTGTGAAGACATACACTGTGAAGTCTTGCACCTCTGGAGCAAAGAATATTTCATGTTGTAGGTTTAACCCTACTGCCTCTATCTTCTTTGCAGAGCTGAACTGTATGGAGTAGCATGGCTGGATAACAGGCCCAAACGTGTCATTCACCTGTAGAAGAAAAATATGCTCAAAGTTATTTATTCAGTTAATTTTTATTTATCCATAATGATATATATATATTTATAGAGTATAAGGCAAGAAGCACAGTTGCTTATATGACACCTTCTACTCAAAAAAATAACACGAGAGCAAAACACAAAGACAAAATACATATACTAGTATAATTACAAAGTGGGTAAAAGAAAAATGAGCGTGAACAAGACAAGTTGGAGATCTATCAATTACAAGAATCTACCTGTACAGTAAATAAAGGTTTGAAGAACTCACCACCCCAATGGACTGCCTGTCTGTGTTAAATAGCAGTGTCTCTGCATCCAGTGCCGGTGTGTTGGGATAGGCCTGCACCACAACTGTACAGATGGAGAGCACTCAGTGGTATGATAAAACAGGTGAAACTCACAGTGTAATGCTTAAAACGCATTGAGCCATCAATATTGCAATGCAACTGTGCTATAGACCTTCTTATTAATTACTTAGCTATGGGTAAGGGGAAAGGGTTGGTAGTTTTTTCTTGGGTCGGTTGGGAAACAGGAAACAACATTTTTTCCCTAGGCCTCTTCCTAACTTTTCATAGAAAAACTCCAAGTATGGTATGTAAAATTATTTACGTACCCAGCTGTCCAATGATGCTGCTTATCTTCCCGATGGCCTTCACCTGTACATCTTCTGGGAGGATGATATCTGGGAACTCCTCAATAGGAACATCCGGTGTCACCTGTCAGAATAGTCAAGCTTGTATTAGGACTTGGAAAGAAAATGTGTTTCCTGTTAAAAAAAAAAAAATTAGGGTCGGTAGGTAGGGATTCTTTTTTTTTAGACTTTGGTGACTAAGTAGTCCAACTTTCATGTTACAAAAGCAAAACTTGCATTAGGGCACATTCATTTTCAACGTCAATGTTGGAAAACCGATTGTACAATGTTTCATCACTCAGGTGTCAGATCATAGAGCTAGAAAAAAAGGTTGATCAGCACAAAAAAAATATCTCCCTTGCTGGGATTCACCCAACAAAAGGCTATCAGCAGTTTTTTCTAGGGTTGGTCAGGTAAGACACAGGAAGATGAAGCACATTTTTTCCCTAAATCTAATGCATTTTCTAAATACTTCCAAAAGTCACCAAAACAAACCTGAGTTACGACTTCCTCCTTGGCCTGTGAGGGCTGGTCCTGTTTGACTTTGTCATTTTTCACCTCCTCCTCCTCTTCATCTTCTGAATCACTGCTGTCTGACGATGATTCACTGAAACAAAGTAAACAGAGAGATGTGTTAAATTTTTTTAAAACCATATATAAAAAAAGTAAAAATAATAATCTCTAGCCTTGTAGCACTATATATATACATGTACATGCCACACTGATTTAAGTTTATGGATGACATCTGCGCGCATTGATTTTCACCTTCTCCCAGCCTCTGGCCCAAGTGCTAGTAATCCTCCAAAGTCCGTGGTATTAACTAGTGACAAAAGGGAGCCGGTGGAAACTATGGAGGATGGCACAGAGTACTCAAGAACTCAGTACAGTGCTGACTCATAAATGCTGCAAAAGGCCAGCATGTGCCGGCTTATCATAAAAGTGACTAGGTACAACTGCAAATTCACAATACCAGCATTGCACTAGTATTCCTGTTGTTTAGAAGCATTTTTTTCTGGCCTTATTTTTCTTTTATTCGCATGCCCACTCTAGTTTGGGGGTCTTCAGAGGACGTCATCCGTAAAATCAAGTGAGTATGACCTAAATGCAAAAACTGGTTGTATAATCTGACCTTTCTTCAGATGAAGTGCTCTCACTTTCTGATGATTCCTGAACATTTTCTTCACCTCCAGGAGTTTCTTCTTTGTAGGGTTCCTCTTGCTGCAATTCTACAGCTTCTTTTGTATCTATAACATCTTGCCTTGTTACAGGATGAGCTTGAACAACATCCACATTGTTTGTTTCCATATTGTCAATCTCCATAGTATCTGTGGATAAGTCTGGCTGTGTTTTACTTCTTGTTTCTAAACTCAAATCTGTTTTTGTCTCTGTCATTTCTTTGGTGACAGTTGTGTGATCTGTTTCTTCTACATCATTTGGATGTTCCCACTCTGTGGTAACCGATGGTTGACTTGCCACGCTGTGAACATCTTTTCTTTCTACATCAGTAGCTCCCTCTATGTCTGGATGGGGAGGGACTATTTCTCTTTCCTCTGTTTCCATGGCGATATCTTTATCAACAAAAGTTGATTGGCACTTGCTGACTTCCTGGCTTCTGGTGTCACCTGGGGAAGAAGAAATGTTACTTTCTTGGACAGTTTCATCTGTGTCAAGAGAAACAGAGTCTTTGTCTGTACTCTTTGGACATTCCTGTTCTGACGAGTCTCTGTTTCTGGTATTTTCGTCGTATTCTGACATTCTGAGTTTACTGATTTCTTCAACTCCAACTTCCAAGTTCATATGTACTATAAGATAGTACTCTCAATTCATTTCATCCCATATGTACCACAGTTCTAGCTCCAAGGGGGATCTGAAAAAATAAAAAAAAGAAGTTCACTCAAATTTTTTAAGGCTCTGAAAAAGTTTATGATTTTAAGTGCAATAACATAAAGTGCTAACGTTACCAGAGTTTAATGTGCGATCATCATTGTACTCCAGCACAAAATGAAAATGGGTGTAGATTCTGTAGACGCTGCCTTGCCACATAATTACAAAATTTTTGTATGCTAGCATCTTCAGAAAATTACTAAACAGTTCACGATCGTGGAAAACAATGAGTTAACTACTCTCCTAGCAGAGGTTGATGGGGGAAGATTTTTTGCTTTTTATATATGGTCCTTTTTTTGTCGCTACCCCCGAAGTAAAAAGCAAACGATCTTCCCCCATCAACCTCTGCTTGGAGGCAGGAGTAAACAGCAAGCAAACATGTGCGTTCATGCCACTGGATATGGCAGGGATCATAACAGCAAAGATAATCATGTTCTGATTTCGGACAGCGAATGAAACATAATCCTTGCATCAATTTTATACCTATGATATTAACAGAAACTTTGACATTCTCCGGAAACAAACGTATAAAGTCATAATCAAGCAAACCTCGAGAGGAAACTGCACAAATCACCTCGTGTTTCCCACCGATAGAAAGGTTAGAGGTCGAAAGGTCGATACCATGTAGTATAGGGTATATTTGAATTTCAAGAATTTTTATTTACGAGTTTAAAAATAGATTAACAGTAATCTATTCATACTTAAAACATTAAACAAATGTAAAATTTTGTCTAAGCATTGATAGATTACATTTTAGCTTATATTTTGTATGTAACATCAAATATTATTTCAAAATTTCTCCTTTTTTATAAGTGGTTGTACCCCAAAAATGACCTGCGCACTGAGAGGCGTTAAATGCTAAGCACGGTGTGACGTGCTTGTGAAAGGTCGTAGATTTGCCGTCTTTTTTCGTAGTTTTTGCTGCTAAATTCCGCCATGGACAGAAGTCAAACGCCTCCCTCGTCACCCTTCAACTTCTACGGCGCCCAGGACCCGTCCATGAACGTACCACGTGAGTATTTCGTGTGTTTTTGTAGTCTTCGATTGTCTTCAAAATGACACATGTGTTACGTCATATGGAGACTCCGGATCGACGGTTTCGGTTTTTGCACGTTTTCCGTTTTTTTCTCTAGATATAAGTCAATCTAAGCCCAACAAGCAAGTGGTATAACTTTAAAATGGTTTGATTTTGTTTCTGATGACTGTAGAAAACCAGATCATGGCCTAGAGCATAGTTTTCCCCCAAAAGGTCATATTTTCCTTGCGTGCCCCCCTCCCACTCCCTCTGCCATACAATGATTTTGCGTCATGTTCCCATGTGGTAAACAGCTCGTAGCGTTATTACCACATGGGAACATGACAGTTACATAATAACATATCACTTTAAAGCCTTTCTTCGTTTTCTAATTTAGGAAAACCAAAATACGACAAAATTGGTAAATGTTCTCAGAGGAAAAGAAGAAGCCATCAGACTTTTTTGTTGAAAATAATATTCCTTCTTCTTCTTCTTCTTCTTCCTCTAACAACCCCGTAAGGGGTATCGCTGAGGGGGGGGGGGAGGTGCGTGGACCTTACAGTAGAGAGGCCCGAAAGGCCTCCACAGATTGTGCCTGTACGGCCTGGGCAGGTAAACTGTTCCACTCTCGAATCGAGCGTGGGAAAAATGAGAATTTGAAACAGTCTTTCGTTGCAGGAATAATATTGTATTTAAAGGCGTGGCTACCTCTGGTGCGCCGCTGTGCAGGAATAAGATATTGTTCAGAGGGTATGTGCATGTGACCGTGAGTTATTTTGAACATTGTAGTCAGACGTGCCTCTCTTCTTCTGTTTGCAAGAGTGGGCCATTGGAGTTTTTGCAACATTTCGGTCACACTACTGGTGCGGGCGTAGTCATTCATGACCATCCGGGCTGCCCTGCATTCCAACAATATAATACATACTATGTGTTACACATAGTATGTTTGACGGCATCACATGGTTGAGGGGTGTTGTGTATCACAAAAAGTGCTCTACTGACAGTCTTCTGTCTCTTGCAGTGACATCTTCAGGTTCATCATTTTCACCATACCTCAACATTGACCCATCATACTTGAATCAGGTTAGATTTGGCAAGTTGTTTTATTGGCATCCGTAACTTACTAACTGATATGGATAAACATAAATTAGTCTAGTTGAGATATAGAATACTCTTTCTGTACTTATTACTTTCAGAAAGTAATGAATTCAAGTTGACACCAGATCCTTCCTTTATCTCTTAACAGGGAGGATCAGAATTCATTTTCCCGACAGAGAAGAGAACGCGGGGCAGATTTGAGCTGGCTTTCTCACAGATTGGCAGTTCTGTGGCGGCAGGTGTGGAATTCTGTTGTTCTTTTATTTTCCTTCAAGTTCAAGTACAACTTTCAACTCAAATCAAAGTTAGTTCTACTATGTTAAGTTCTCTTTGACAAACATTTTATGTCTCTACAGTATATTTAAATACAATGTACATTTGTATATCCTTTTATATCACTTACTAGCATCTTTTTTTCTATTCCCACACAGGAGCAATCTATGGAGGAGTGAATGGTCTAAGACTAGGGTTGAGCGAGACAGCAGAGCTAGCATGGAGCAAACCTAAATATGTCCAGTAAGTCACTAGTACTAATATGGCCTGATGCTATCTTTAGTTTGAGTTTTTTTCCTCGATTGCTGCCTGTTTAAAAGAGCTTGCTGCACTTTGTTTACTGAATGGACTATCCTGAGATTTATAAGTGAATAAACTAGATTGGTAATTTTTCCATCCCATTTCTGTTTTATCTTTGTTGAAAGTAAGATATAATGATAGATGTACCTTGTATTTGCTGCTTTTTGTGGGCATTTAGTGAGGCATGGTTATCTTTTAACAGTACTGTAGGAAGTTAATGACATGTTTCCACAATTTCCTACATTCTAGGCTGCTGAACCTGACATTGAAGAGAGGTGCAGCAACAGCAAACACACTTGGTGTGATCGGTATGTTGTAATGTTTCTCCTTCACATGTAGCATACTTAAGTGCCAGTTTTGCTACTAATTCTCTATTTCTTTAGCTGTAACTTACTGTAAGGATAAAGGAAAACAATCTGATGTTCATATTTTTCTCTCTCTTTTTCCCCCAGCCCTATTCTACAGTGCATTTGGTGTGCTGTACTCATCTTCCTTGTTCTTTGATGTTGATGATGAGAGATCAACACTGTTGGCAGGAACATCTACAGGACTCCTCTTCAAATCCACAGGTAAGGCTAGGAAGTAACTTACCGTAGGGTTAGCTTCACTAGTACTGATGCAAAGTGATAGTTTGCACTACATGAACGGTCTCATTACACTTTGAAAGGGTACCAGTTGACCAGGATGCAGGTTGATATTCAGGTAATTATGAACAATGGAGCATTGACTGTATGTGCATGATAGTAAATGCTGAATAATAGTTGTATAGGTATTCTATTTGGGTCTGTAATATTGATCGAAAAAATACAGTACAGTCAGTGTACAAGCATGTCAGCAGAACGTACTGTACGTGCCTGAAACCCTGATTTTTCACATTTTTTGTTGGATGTCTGGTCAACATTGCATCAGAATTTTGTCTATTGCAGAGGATATCTTTTCCAACACAACATTTGGAAACTTCAGACGGGATTTTAACGGGATATAAGTTATATGCATGAATACAACCATATATGAGAAGTTCTGCCAAAATGCTATGTACAATACATTACAGGTTTCGCGCAAGTGCATTATGTTCTGCCGATGTGCTCAGTGTGCATATATATGCAATGAAACTGTGTTAAACTTAATGTTTTCTGTTTTTTTTCCACACAGCTGGACTGAAGGGCATGGCTAGAGGGGGAGGGGTTGGGTTTGGACTGGCAGCACTCTGGTGTGTGTGGCAAAACAGAGACAGGGTCAAATCTTCTCTTGGCGTGAATCAAACCTTGTAAAAACTCCAGACATTTTAAAATACATCTTCTTTCTTTCCCTTTCTTCCTCCTTTCTACAATCGCCACAAAAGACCTGATGACGTGATCTTTCCTCTCAAAAAAGATGTACTCATGTAAAAGTGCTTTGGAAAGTCAGTGAAGCAAAGTTAGATGTGACACAAGAACAGTTTAAAATAAAATGTGTTCGTTTAACACAAGAGGACATTTCTTTTATGTACCAATCTTACGGAGGAGTGAACTGCACTGTATAGTCTGGTGGTAAACATAAAAACAGAACAATTGACCATGCACATGAAGGATTCTAGCTTTTTTCTTGAACCTTTCAGATATACAACTAAAACAAAGATTTTAGTCATTGAATCATTGTGTAACTGTATGAAAGAAATGACTGAAAAACAAACCAAAAATTGGAAAGTTTGTAACCCAAAACTGTTAACTATCACTAGAAGTAAAAATAACACTTTCAAGTTTTTAGTACATACATTACAATAAATACATATGATTCTCATTGTAGTATAATATGTATTCGTTACTTGAATCAATGTCAATTTCTTGTTGTTCCCATTTTATGTTAGGCAAATAAAAATGTACATCGTAGTATGGCATAAAACATACTTAAAACTTTGGCCGTGTTCCCTTCAACTTCCAGGGAAGTTGTACTGAAATCACATATACATGTACAGAGTACTGCTACAGTTAGGGAAACACTGAATAACGTAGCAATACAAGAATGTGAATTTTGTACTGTGTGTAACAACTGCTAACAACTGTCACAAAGCAATTATACAATGTACAATATTATAGTTGTTTATGGCAAAACACAAATAAAGCCTATTATACATGCATGTAGATTTGTTCATCATTACACAGTGCTACAATCCAGATGAAAACTCCGAACAGTTATATTACTCTCTGAGCTCTCTTGCAAGTTGTTACAAGTACAAGCTCGATTACTAGTAATAATTTGCTACACTTTCTGCAGTTTATCTTAAACCTGCCAGGTGTCGCCCTTGCACGGGTCAACAGGTGGCTAAAGGTTATTTCCTGACCAATCAGCGCAAGCCAGGTCAAGGGTCAAACTTCTGACCAATCAGCGCAAGCCAGGTCAGATCTTTCCGGGTAACTTGAAATCCTCAAACCAGGAAGTGGAGCGTAGCTCAACAAACATCGTCTTTCCTGTAAGATTTGGCACGACAAGGGCGTTTTTAACTCTCCACAAAGATGCGTAAGCTTCTGGTTCTAGTCTTGTTGATTTCTGTGCCCGAAATATGGTGTAAGAAGAAGAAGAAGACGCCTGAAAGCGGAGAGAAAAGCCACCCAGACTTAGGAGACGTGAAGGGCTTACGGGACAGCCTTGACGGCTTGATGCAGGGGCTCGAGTCGCTAGAAAATCTTTTCGGAGTGGTGGAAGAAGCGGGCGATCTGGAATGTGGTTATGTCTGTAAAAACGGTAGGTAGATTTGAAGTGTAACTCGGTCCTTCACTAGACTAAGGGGGTTCAAAATTGTTTATGAATATATTTTGAACTCTCTTCGTATCTTTTTGGTACTAAAAAATTATAAATGTATACTAGTACATAAAACAACTCTAAGATACTTGAACCAATCCAACTAACTACGTTATAATTAGATCCTCCACATGCTCTTTTATTGCTGCAGTTACCTATTGTACTGTAGATCTAGTTTCTCAGATTTTGAGAGTCAAAGGTAACAATTATATAAGGAGTTATTGCAAGGACACTGTATAAAGTTATTGTTGTAGGTTTAATTGCGATGAATTTCATGCATGTACATGATAACACATGATGTTGATGTTTCTTAATACCAAAGGGAAGAAGCCCAGAAAAAATCCCCAACATGTGCCCCGGTCTAATGGTTGTGGCTCCTTTGGACTCCAGGTAAGAGTCTTGAAAAATACATGACTAGTAAACCCACCTTATCATACTATAGACAAGTTATCCCTAGCCCACGCATTCCTACATTAATTTATTGTACAACAATAGCTGGTAGAGGTTATGCAAAGATAATTTATAAACCAGTGTCTTTGTGCAATCTTAATACATTACATGTTACAATGCCTTATCATGCACTCACTGCCACACAGTGCTGTTTAGTAGTCTGTACCAGAAAAACCAGACCTGACCGTTTGTGCACAAGGCCACATGAATTAAATTACATGTACATTTAGTTGGTTCTTGGAATCACCTGGTTCATTTTTTTTGACTTGGAAAAAAAGGGATTCAGGTGCTGAATCAACTCTAAAATGTTCATATTTCCTAGTTGTTACAGTTTATCCATCCAACAATACATTGGTTCATGAAAAGGTTAAAGTTCATTGTTGGAATTTAATATACAAGCCCTGTATGTTGAACTCAAGGCACCTGTCACAAGGGTCGGCAGCACTCGGCTAGTACATGTAGTACTGGTCTTCACACTGCACCTCCAGACTGCCCTATCCAGTGGTCTTTCTTGACACACTCCATCAAAGTCTTTTTAGGTCTTCCCCAACCTCTGCTTCTAGGCAGCTGCAGTTCATGTATTAACAACATCATTGACCAATGATGTTGTTGATACAGCTCTAGCCACTGGCATGTTTAACGTGGCCATACCATTCTAGACCCTGACTTGTTTGTTGTTTTGTACAATAGATGGACACCACCAGTCTCCCTGCAATGACACGCTGCTGTGACAAACATGACATCTGTTATGACACCTGTGGGAAGAACCGTCAGGACTGTGACGACAAGTTTAAGTCCTGCCTGGACAAAATGTGCGAGAACCTCAGTACAACTCTCTCAAAAGATCAATATGAGGGTGAGTATTGAAAAACAAGCTTTAAGTTAATGGTGCTTAGATTGACTTAATTATAAAAATCTAAATTTTCCTGAATAGCAGAGACTGTCACTTCTCAGCAATCAGGAGCAGGTGGGTGGGTAGCCTTTTGTAGCTCCTATGTCCATCGTGGTCCTAATATGTATTTGCCAATGAAGTTCTTGAATCCGATGATGGTCGACTGATTTACACAGTCTCTGATAGTAGCTTGTTCCAAGTTTACTTTCACACTCAAGAATTTCTTGTGGCATTCACTTAAACAAATGGCATCTGCCATTTGTGTTGGTGCTCCCTAGTGTCGTAGGAATTGCTTGCTGGTATGAAAATATGATATGATTCTGGGTATGAATCTTTAACATGCCCCACTGTAGCCTGCTTATCAAACCTATTTGTGTAGCTCACCTCGAGGTGCTTAACTATACGTAGGAATCCCCAGAGGGTGAAGACTGTGATCTGCCATGACATGGTTTTAGAGTTTATTGCATAGATGCTCCTGTATCTAATTATTTTTGTGCCTGTTTGTAGGGTGCCAGATGACTTCTCAGCTGATGTATGCAGGCACTACAAGCCTGGGCTGCAAATCTTTCAAGGACGCCCAGAAGAGGGCCTGCATATGTGACGAGGACAACGATTGGCTAGAAAAGCCAATTAAGACCAGCAAAACATCTGGTGACCTTTGACTTTACAGGGACCTTCTGGACCCTCTTTAATGAATGAATGAATGACGACCTTTCTTTTGCACATTTTTGGGCTAAGTACAGGTCAAAAGAAAACATGATGACCAGATTTATACAATATAAAGCTAGATATCATTAGATAAGCTCATGTTGTTTGGTGGAAGGTTTGTTTGATGAAAGGTTTGTCTAGTTGCATTAGGAAAATGAACTTTTCTACAGTCACTGTGCTCAAGTGTATGAAGTAAGGAAACACATTTTGTACAAACCTATACAGTTCATTTATATTGTGGTGTGTACATAATTCTTAAATCGGTCATTTTTCAAATACTACTGATCATTTTTCTGAAGAGTATTCAATTTGATAATTAGAGTTGTCTACACACAAAGACTACATGTAGGTAATTAGGGCCCGGGCTAGAAATTCCATTACTAGAAGTACAGTTTTAAAAAGACAGCATTCACATATTTTCTTGTTGTCTTATATGATCAAAACATTAAGATTTGTGTAAAATACTGCCAAGCAAAGTAAAGCCCGGAGACCTTGAAGACTGTAAAACTAGAACAGGGGGTTTGTACAAGCTAGCCCCAGGCAATGTAACCTTTGTGTCAGCTGACTTGTCGTGCAACACACCAGTCATCTGGTGTTTCAACCCAGAAATCACAGCCCTGATTTATTACTAGTAACCCAGTTTCAAACTTTGACTGTTCTTTAACTCAAAAATACATTTGTTGTTGAAGAAGTTACCTTGTTATCATTGGCAGCTTTTTCCTATGTCTTTACATTCCCAATGTTTTAGATGGTATTTTGTTTAATTTTAAAGCTTGCAAAGGCTAATTATATCTTAGGCCTGGGGACAAATGTTGTGTTCCCTGTTTCAGTCCTGAAAAAAATTAGGGTCGGCAGGTAGGGATTATCTTTTTCTTTTACACTTTGGCGATGTCTAGTGATCCAATTTTTACTAAGGAGGTCTTTTCTTACTGTACAATACAGTTTAACAAAGTACTAAAACTTGCATGAGGATTATGTTGTCAGTGCCAATGTTGGAAAACCGATTGTGCAACATTATTTCATCACTCAGGTGTCAGATCATGGAGCTAGAAAAGGTCGATCAGCTTGCAAAATTTAGGAGGGTTCCACACACAAAGAAATCTAGGGTTGCCAGTTTTTTCTAGGGTCAGTTGGGAAACAGGAAACACAACATTTTTTTCCTAAGCTTTAGATAGGCTATTCTTAATATGGCAGTTCTGCAGAACCTTCAACTCTTATCACTGTGACAACTGAAATGGTTTGAGCTGTCACTTTTAACAGGAGGGTAAACATATCATGTTAGTATAAGTGTAGTACTGTACAATCATGTATTTTGTAGGTTTGGAGAATTATGTGTACTAAGAGTTCTCAGTTGTTGGCATTAAAAACTCATTCAGTCTTTGGGCTTTTTTACATCAGTATTTCTTTTATTTCCACCATCATAGACAATGTGTTTGAAATGAGATACCTGTAGCAGTGTTATAAGACTGGTTTAAACTGGTAACTGCAAATATAGGATTATCTAGTCCTTTCTTGTTTAGATGTACTATGCATTGAACGTAAGCATTGAATTCAGTTAGAAGTATCAAACCAGATTAGCATACAGAAGTTACACCTATTACAGTTATTCCCTGCAAAACTACACACTGAGTTAGTATCCCATGTCATTCTTTTCATTAGTCATAATGCATTCAGCCAATAATTTAAAAGGTATTGAATATTTGTATAATTTTGTTAGTATGGTGATTTATGAGATAACATCCATGTAGGTGCTAATTTGTTACATACACGTTAGTCTTACAGTCATTAAAAGTAATTATGTTCCATCTTTTTTTTTATTTTTGTTTGTTTTGCTTAAATAAATATGAGGCTAACTTTAACTGAATACATGTCTCAATTTTCCATAAAACTATGCCATCTTATAACTGAGATTACCAAGCACCCTAGTTTGTATTCCTACATTTTGCTCCAGCCTTAAATTCTACAAACATAAATAAACACCAAGATTAGAACTACCCCATAGACATAAGTATGCACAATTTTGTCATCCCCAAGCAGATGTTACTTGCTGTGGCCAAATCATTTGCTAAACTTTCTGCAGTTTTACTTAAACCTGCTAGGTGTCATCCTTGCGCGGGATAGCAGGTGACCAAGCAGACGTTGCTCACACCAGAGCGTACCAGCGTGCGTCACCAGTGCCGATCATGGCGGACAGGCTGTGGCGTGTGCCCGGGCCTAGGAACACCTTCCCCAGCGTATCTCGTTCTCCAGTCTTCTGCTGACACACAGACACCTTCAGACCAACCTGGAAATAATAAAAAAAGTACATATCAATAAAAATGTAACTGATGAGCTATGGGCTTTGAAATGCTACATGTGTTACTAAGTTGATGGGGATCCATATGTTAACATCGTTATTCCTGCAGATGATTATAATGGGTGTAAAGAAAGAGGTTAACCTGTATGCCTGGTGCCTGGCCTGGTCGGACTGCCCCACTTTTTCAGTAAACCCAATTTGCGCCATTTCTACCTTGTAGTTTTTTTTTTCTATTTCCCTCGATCGTAACAGAGCCAAAACTCAGTTATGTGGGACATGATAACGATCTAAACAATCAATGCACTTCATCAATGGCTCCGTGCCTGGGGCGTCGCCAAAATGCTAGAGTACTTACAGCATCTACTCCATACTTGGCGACGTCGAAGTTGAAGATTTGCTTGTAGACCGGACTGGTTGTCCCTGACTTCACCACAGATCGTTTGGTCTTGATGACTTGGTTGTCTACGAACAGCGCCACTCGAACATACAGTTGAACTAAGAGAAAGAATAAAATATGTTCATGAAAGTTCATCTGTGTCGGTAGTAATCATAGTAAAAAGTTTAACTTTATTCCAACATAAGGTTTCACAGGGATCAAATTTTCAACGACCACTGTTGCACTACCATCCAGCCCCTCTTGAACTCAGTTCTGCATGGTACTTGCAACATTATGTGACCCAACACCAGTTACCATGGTGAAAGACGTCTGGTCCTGGCCATTGACCTTATTTGTTTGGAATAGAAGAGGAAGAGGAAGAAACTTAACAAAAAACAATATGTTTTCCTTCGTTAAACATTTTTTTTCAAGAACTTACTGTCCTTCCTGGATAGGATTGCGTCTATTCCCGGAACTGAGACGTTCTTTGCCTCCAGGACAGTGACGGACAGGACGTCAGTCTTCGGCATGAAGCTGAAGCTCAGCTGAATGTCACCCTTGTTCTCCAGGACGTCATAATCAGTCTGTAATAAACAATCCATTGTCATGTCATATTATATTCAAATACTGCAAGTCTACATTTCAAATTAGATCAAGGAACATACAATGTAACTTGATACTTTTGTACGATTTGGCTGCAAATAAACATGAACCTATGTAAAGGATTGTTTTCTTTCTTTTTTTCTTTGTACATAGTACTACATACAAATGTACAAATAGATTTTGTGCCATACTGACTGGGCTGATGCGTAATTTTGAATCTGGTCAAATCTTCGGTTTCAACATTTTCTGCATTCTTTTATTTACTGGCTGATACGTGGCTAAGTGTTCAATCTGACTTTTAATCAGATATACATTTTGTATTTCCAATCTACAGATTTGATCACCGCCCTCCCTTTAGGCCACCAATCAAAAACGAGCTTAGCAGATCAATCATCAAAATGTATTCCCAAATTGTCTGTTAATTGTACCTGAGCCTGAGCCGTTAATAAAGGAGTTCATAACAAGTTGTCTAAAAACTTTCATTTCTAATCATACAGCTACATAAAGTATTCATGTTCCAACTTTTGAAATATCCTCATACTACCGGCTTAATGCAAGTTCTAATTTTGTCTAAGTGTAAGATAAGATTTTTTAAAAGTTGGAGACAATATATGTAGAAAAAACCAACTGACCTGTGTAAGATGTCTTGCCGTCAGGTCCTCTGATACTCCCTCTTCGTTGTCATCTTCCTTGGCAAAGGAAGAGATATCCCGCCCTTCGAAAGGATACAGGACTGTTCCCATCAATTTGTTTTTCGAGAACTTTCCTCCCATGTTCATGATGTCAAACCGCAGTGTCCTAGACGAGAGGTCGGCCTCCTTGATGGGGAATATGAAGATTTCGTTGAACTCGGGGTTGGCTGTGAGCTTCTGCACTTTGGTGAGGTAGCGTGTTTTCATGTCGGGGAGTAGAACCACTGATACGTACGGGTTCTTGCATTTTGTCGGCAGGCCTGTAGCTTTTTGAATGGTCACCACGAGTTCCTCCTTTGCCCTTCTGTACACCAGTTTGAAGCCCAGGTTTCCTGAGAAGGCCGTGGAGTCTTGAGTGGTGGTGTCGGAGATGGCGTCTCCAGCTTCGCTTCCTGAGTCGTCCATGCCGAGGAGGTATTTCTCGAGCTCTACAGGGCCTTGTTTAGTCGGGATGAGGGCAGGCGGGCTGGCGTAGCTTTTCGTCGGGGGTTGGACCTGTTCAGGCTCCGAGACAACGATCGCTGGCTTCAGTGGTGGAGGCTGATTCTGTAAGGACACTGAGGAAAGCTGCAAAGACAAGAAGAACAGGTGGCATTAATGTCATATCTTGGGATTATTATGATGGTTCCTTGTAACTCGCGAAAGAATTGGCGCACATATATGTTATTGCGTCATCTTAAACATTTTCGGGCGAAGTGTTTACCCAACAATAGAAATTAAATCAAGAATTTGAATTAAAAGCGTTTTAAATGCATTTGACGAATAAAATAAGAATGATGATTTGTAAAAAAAGATTGTTCAGGAAAGAAAAGGATAACTTTCTCTGGTCTCAAAATGGCTCCGTATACATGCAAACTGTTTTGTTGTGTCAAACCCATAACCCTATTTTAATTTCTTAAAGCTTATTGAAATCACTCAAAGGCCCTGAAGTACAGTTTTCTACTTACAGTTCACCAAAAAAATCAGGAAAGAGGTGATCAGTTTTTTTTTGGAAACGCCAAATTTTGAAGATTGTACGACAGGTGGAAAAGTTGTGGCCTCTTCTATCCCAAAATGGACACAAGTGGGACACAGACACCCCGTACAGCCGGTTTTGTAAGTCGTGTTGGAATGCGCACAGGGCACCTGGCTTAAAGCATATTGTCTAACAGCGGGCTTGTCATGCACTGACACCCACATGAAACTCATAAAACACAAATAAAACCCATAAAACCCAACCTTTCTACAACTACAAAAATACATATCCTGTATAGACCCTAAATCAGGTTTGCGACGCTATTTCTTGCAAGGGTATAAATAATGGTAACATTTTTCAGCTTTCACACAGCATTTGTTCCACCTGTTGATTATTTGGGTCCCGTGGGAAAACTGGAGCGATGGTCAATTATTGGCGATTACCCACAATGCTTAGCGAGGTTGGCAGAGGATCAAAAAGTGTGCATGCAGATCCTAGGGTGGCATAAGACAGTATCAAATACTGCCTGGTCAATTGGATACTGTCTTATGCCGCCCTGGGATCTGCTTGGAGATTTTTGATACTCTGTCAACATCGAAAAGCATTGTGGGTAATCACCAGTAATCACCCATCCCGCCAATCGTGACACAGTTTTCTCTATACCGATAAGCACTGGTCTCGAAAAAGTGATTCTGAATGTTGAAAAAATAGACGTAAAAACTAAAATCGACCTGGATTCTCAGTACCTTCTTGAGATGAGTTTCTTGAATGTACATTCTATAGCTGGTCCTAGCTACACTAGTCCAGTAACCAGAGTATCAAACCTTAGAACTACAACATTTTCAAAGAGTCCGATATATTTAATGACCAAGTTGTTGAAAGCGTATAAATATTCAGATCTTGAGTCTTAACATGTCATATTTTATACGAGACGATCACAATTTGACTGTACCGTTAATGGACTATATTACGTATTATGATTTTTCAAGTCGATTGTCTGAGGCATGGATCTTAGTGTTTTAAAGTTGTAAGAAGTCTACAATTCAGCCCTAAGGCTGCCAAGAGTCTAGACTTTCAGCATATATATGTAACGTTAAATGTGAAATATATGAATAAACAAATCCATTTCTTCTTCTACTTCTACTACTACTACTACTACTACTACTACTACTTCTACTACTACTACTACCACCACCACCACCACTACTACTACTACTACTACCACCACCACTCCAACTACTACTACTACTAGTACTACTACTACTACTACCGCTACAACTACTGTTACTACTACTACTACTACCACCACTAATAATAATAATAATAATACCGCTACTACTACCACTACTACTACTACTTCAACTACTACTAACCTTCCGAGGACTCTGTGACTCCCATTCGTGGTACTCCTGAAACTGCTTGGCTTCCTCGTCCTCCTGTCGGTTGTCTATCAGCTTCTCCTTGAACCTGGCTGCCTTCTTCTGCCGGAAGTGTTGCACACAGAACCACACACAGAAGCCGAGGATGATCTGTCCCACGATGGCGCAGAGCACCACGGCCAGGATGATCCACGTGTAGGTGTCCATGGCTGCAGGGCTAGGACGACTCAAGGAGTATTCTCCAGCCATGTAATCTGAAACAAGAAAAAAAAAAAAAAACTATAACCATCTGAAATTCTGCTGCAGTGCCATAGGCAACCTATATTGGCCCTATGATGGAAGGTATCAGTGTTGTAATTAAAATCTACTAATACCAGATGTCCAAAATATCCACCTATAGTATCTCGAGTTTGCTGTCCACAAAAACGTACAAGCCAATGCGCCAACAAACGAACGGCATCTGCGCTTTCTAAGACAAACCTATGAAGTTGTCTTCATTTTTGGTCAATTATCATTATCCAATTAAAATGAGGAGGTACAAAAAGTAAACATTATCACTAAACAATGACACAACTGACAAAAAAATTGACCATATCCCCCCCCCTCCCCACATAATGTAAATATATGTATATTTTAGTTCCACAGAATGCAATGTATACCTAGTGAAAATGATATATCAGTGCAGGATGCCATTGGTACACTCTGATCTTGAAATAGCCGTCTGTACACGAGGTATTTTGTAGTTTGATATTGGGAAGTAGTCAGGGTTACTTAAGAGAGCAAAGTGGGTTAGCATAACATGTGCCTGTAAAGTATACAAACTGCATACACGAATTACATTCTACAATATACTGTATACTCTACGCATAAAATGTACTGCATTCAAACAAACGACACCCCCCCCACACACACACACATGACACACACTGAAAGGTCCTAACACACCCTAACACACCTTAAAACTTCTGCATACCGAACACAATTGTTTCCAAAAAATCACAAACTGAACGCCTGCCTCATTACACTGTCCATGACACTATTTACATCATTACCCCAAGTCTATTCCAACTCCATATACTCCTAATCTATTTAAAGAAAGAATGAAAAATATGGCTAAGAGTGTTTTACATTATTTGTAGTCCGCGACTTCGGAAATCCAACTGCTTCAATAGCTTGCCAAGAAAGCGTATGATAAAAATAAGTTCAAATTGATTAACATCATAATGCCATGCAATCCATGGGGATCAGCATTATCATTACATTGATTTTGTTTACTGTAAAAAAAGACGGTACTTGTCTTAAGTTGGGCACGCCTTTAGGTCAAGGATTATCTAAGTAGAAAGACTGAATCTCACCTCGTTGACAGTCGTATTGTATCCATTCTTCCCTTCAAGTAACAGCAAAAACGTAGAACAACTACATAATTTATGCTAGTATCATCATAGTTTGGGTGAAATATTAGCCATATGTTATCGTCTGTTCTGTGATTATAATAAAAATGGCGCCTATCGACCCTTGTGACCCGGCCCGCAGCCTTGTAGAGCCTGTTGGACTGCTTCTGTGTGTATTCACCAACAGTGAGTACGGTGGGGATAAATATGCATAATTACATGGGGAAGGGCGATGATAAAAAGACGGGAAAACTTTCAGAAAGGGTTAGGAGTCATTTCTGTCGTACATATGGCCTTAAATTGTGTAAAGCTAATAATTCTAAAGTGACTTCTCAATACTTTTAGTGCTTCTGCGAGATGTATACAGCAGAGTCCCTCCTCCCCTCACCTAGAAACATCCCCTACCACGTACCTATTCCAAGCCAGTACGTAGTGTTATTAGAAATTCTAATGTATGACTTGTACGGAAAATGTCGCATCTTAGTGACATGTTAGTATTTTCTTGTAGTCTTTAGAGCTGTCTATCTGTACTCACTTTTAGTCTCTGATGGAGAAAAAAAAAACTTTCGAAGGCACGCCCATCGGGGATCACTATTTGTGCTCGGCTAGTGTGCATATAATTATAACAGAGAATAAATTTACCGTATCATTATAGTGGTCATTATTGATATTATAGTGGTTCTGGTGAAGGAATGACCCTTGTTGAAGGAATAACCACTTGTAATTGCTGTATTTATCTCTAGTATACGCATGGTCGTAAACAAGTCAATCCAAGTCTGTTTCCCAGTACTAACCTAATTACCAGTACATAAATTAACCGTGCATTGGGCCCAAATATACAATACACAATACTCCTATTTTCTTCCCATGTAGTGCATTCATACATGTATGTACATTTAACTACACTACATATTTGACAAGATGCGGTAAGTCAAAGACATCTATAAAACGATAAAAGGTTCGTTTGAAGAATATTTTGCAACAGATGCGCATGCAAAATGTCGTTCATCCCTACGGTGATTCTTATATAAAAAGTAGTACCGAGAACCAAGTCTTCAGTTACTCAAAGAAAACCCCAGTTATTCTGATACACCAACTGACATAAAACAATCCGCTATAAAATTTCATACAACTTTTCCCAACTTTCAAAATTAGCTTACCTCCATACAGCGTGCATGCAGCACAGCCAGCTGCTATTGTTCGTGCTTCAATCCGTGTAGAATTAGCCTATTTCCACAGGAATGTGGAAAATCCGGAAAAACTCTAATTGTCAAGCATTTAAATTGGAATTAATGTTATTTGAGAAGACATCTTGAGTTGATAGTATTTAATCATCATAACGACTTTTGACAGATATTTCACGTGTTTGTGTGTAGTTTGTGTGTGTGTTTGTGTGCGTTTTTGCATTAGACTAACCAGCGTTGTGTTTTCAAGTAGATATTGGGAAGCAAACCATTTGAAATTATACTTAAAACCCAAACAATTGTCCATGGATAACTTGATTACCATCAGATTGTCTAAGGGTAAATTATGCAGAATCTAAATGTATCAAAATTACCTGCTTCGAAATCGGATCCCAGGACATACCACACCCGACAATAAACGCAGACGTAGGGCATTGTTTAATGTGGTTAAGACAAAACTTTTGAGACATTAGCCGCACAGCCATATTAACATCCTATGCTATATGGAATGCTATATAGAATTTTTGGGATTCTGACACCTTATTGTAACTACTTACCGGCCTATAGCCTCGGTACCATCCGGATTTTCGCTCCGCAACGCTAAAAAAATCACATTTTTCGAGCGTTGCGGAGCGAATATCCGGATGGTACTCAGGCTAACCGGTCTACTCTCTAAAACCAAACTTGTAAGAATGGAGTTACGTGTACGTCACCTTGCAGTCAATAGAAGTGGAACCTATTAAGTTAAAGTTTAACAAATACAACTGATGATTTTAAGAAAAACTGTAATTTTAGAGAAAAGTGTGTAATATTTAAGGAAAAGTGTGTAATATTTAAGGAAAACTGTGTAATATGTAAGGAAAACTGCGCAATATTATTACGTGTCTTGATGTGAATTGTATCGCAATGTTATGTGTCTAATGTTTCCCTGCATGTTCGATCAGTAATGGCCGACGTAACCTGGGCTCAATGTCTTTTTCTTATTTGCGAATGAAGAATGGTTTTAATACTCTTAACCACATTCAATTACTACTGTAACAGCATACATTCTGTCTCAGAAACTCAATACTTTTCAGCATACAATTATAGCTTACCAATAAATTAACAGTGCACCAACAGTCCATCTAAACATTTAATGATGAGAAGGTATTCTAGACCTTACTTTTTAACTTACACATTTGCTAAATGTTGAATATCCAATCCAATACAACACAATACCAACTGGATGTGTCTTGCCTGATTTATTGAAAACAAAGAAAAATAAATAAAGACTTAAGACCTGCCTACGTATTACAATGCATGCTGGGTACGAGGGGCACTATGGGTAGCTCAGGCTAAATTTCAATTTTAATTGAAAATCTTAAACACGACGACATTACAAAGGCACCACCTACACTTGTGCTATTTTAGCTCTGCTGTTTATTTGCCATTGATCTACCCATACCTGCACGGTAACCTCACGTCTCACCGCATTCAATGGGCCATATCATAAGGCCATGTCGATTTGATTATATGGATGACATCCGCTGGGAACCTCAAAACTGATGTAAGCGTGTGAATAAAAAAAGTTCCCTCCATTATAAAATCTATGTGGTCATATGGGTTGAACAAATGACTTAACACACATGAGTATGGTATAGTGAATAATGATAGACTCTTCATTTTCATTTCTTTACATTTTCTTTTTTTCTCGAATTTAGATGACATTAGTATCGTTTTCCAATGCTTTTGCAATATACGACATATATTCACTCATTTTATGTACTGTATGGTCATTTTTTTGGAAACGGTCGAAAATTCATGCGCGCGTGGATGTCATCCACATAATCAAATCAACATGGCCTAATGGTAAACTTTATGCCCTTTATCTTGTCTACTCCAGACGATACCATGTAGGCTCGGGTTTTTCAGGGGAATGCAGATGTTCTTCCAGTGCACCACAGGGATATCCTATCACCAGTCTGCCTAAAGTGTCCTGGAGAAACAGTTCCTTCTTCTTCACGGTGAACTTGAGGCCGACCTGGAGTGGGGTGCAGGTATTAGATTAAAGAAAACAGTCTCCAAACATAACACAATAACTCCTACATAAGTAAGATACATTTGTACATGTAGCTACAACAGGAAAGTTTATCACAGGGATGTATGAATACATTGCAAAACGTGCTGAGTTACTACAACAAGGTAAAAATGTCATGTCAACAACAGTTTAAAAGGTAGCTTCTTCAATGTGATGTGCGCAGGTGGATTGCTCATTCCTTGAAAAAGACTGGAGCTGTACAGTCAAAAATTTGGGTGAGTCCAATTTGTTGTGTTAATTACAGTTCAAACTTGTTTCATACTGATGTGTAGAGGTCTTGATCAGGTTACATACCTCAGTAAGATCGTACTTGGAGACATCAAACGTGAACGTTTCGTTGAACTTGGGGTTGGTGGTTCCCACCTTCTGAGAAGTCTTGAAAGACTTTACTTTCCTGCCATCTTCTGTGATACCGACCTTCACGAAAAGGGCGGCTGGTGGACAAATAAGTGACGAATAGTCAGAATCGCTATGAAATCATTGGAAATTATTAAAAGGTTATTAAATGCAAAGCCATTAGTATGTTTTCTAGAATGATGGTTTACTTGAGTGTGCACATAACAGGCTGTTTAATCAGCATTTGAGTCACGTTTGTATCTCATGATTGAAAATAGTTTTTCATTCGAACACTGCACCTTTGCTAGAATTCTGGTGTTTCTTCTTCCTTCCCGGCATGAAGACCGGGTCAGACAGGTCTCTCTCCGGGTCGACATTGTTGACCTCCTCCACCACCACGGTCAGTAGCCGGGAGTTGGGTCTGTGTGTGAGGCTCAGCAGCAGCTCTCCCCGGTCTGCCCGTAAGACGTCCTCCTCAGGCGCTTTTACCTGTGGAAAAACTCGGGCTTAGAGGTTTTCTATTTCCTCGAAAAAAGTGTCGTAACTTATGTCCGACTCGATACATTGGTCGGAACAAGCCCTATACACATAGGTTTTACAGCTATTTCTTGGTAGAGACCACCAGTGACACAATAATTATACGTTTTGGCAACTAGTCAGCAAAAGTAGGTGTTATGTTTTATATATGCATAGAAAGGCGCCACAATTGCTACTCCTTGATATAGGCTAAATATAGATATAGAAAAGGTTCACTTTCCTTGCTATTTCTGTGTGGGGAAGTCCGATCTAGTTCAATAATTCATCAGAATGGATACCAATTCTATAGCAAGCTAGATGATATAACAAAGGCATATTTACTATTCAAATGATTAAAAAACAAGATAAACATCACTACCTTGATACGTGGATCCATCTTCACTATGTTCATCCAGAACTCCTGTTGAACTGTCCAGTCGTTCCCTTCTAGAGGAAAAGTCACGTGCCCTATCTCCTGTCTACGCTTCCTCTTCCCTCCTGCGTCCATGACGTGAAACTTTAGCGTCAACATCCGGATATCTTCTCCGTCAATGTCAAACGTAAAGAGTTCGTCAAAATCCGGATGGAGGTCATCTAAGATGATCTTTGATTGCTTCCTCCTCCGGATGTCTGGTAAGAGCTTGACGACGACGTACGGATCTCGAAGTTCTTTACTTGTTCTTGGTGTAAGCCGTTCAGCTTTGATGAGGTAGACCTCTAACTGTTTCTCTTCCACCCTGTGTAACACTGTGAATGCGAGCTGTCCTAGATCAAAGTACTTCGCTTCCAGACTGGCCTGTCGGGATACTTTACGGAACAACGATGGTGCGCTCATGCTTCTTGAGTTGGTCCTTTTCGGGCGGTTTCGTCTTGAGTTCGGATCGCTTGTCGTCGTGGATTCGTTGTCAGTCGTGGTGTAGCCACCTCCCAGCAGGGCTTCGTGTTGTATGTCGTACTCTTCAATGTCTGGGCTGGACCCGTTCAGGACCACCATTTGCTCTCTAAGTTTCTTTTCCTTCCTTCTTCTGCACATCTTGAAGATGTAGTAAGTCGTGATTGCCACAATGTTCACCAAGAGTGTCAGGAGTATAAGAGCGACTATTATTGTCGGCCAATCGATTCCCGTGTTGTTGTCCTTCTTACCGAGTATCACGGCAGTTGAATTCGTTGATAGTTCATAATTTGTTTCATAAACGTTGTTTATGTTTTCACGAAATGAAGCTTCACCTTTGTTTACCATTGTTAGCGACGCTATCCTCTTTTCAGTTCCGAACCACTTTTTCCATGTAAAAGTAAAAGTCCACTTTGTGATTTAACTAAGAATTGTTCGGAATATTAGAATAAATTAACGCTTACTTTGATGAAGTAAAATCTGGTATTTTAGTTTAAGGTCTGTTCAACCGTGAATACAAACTGAAGTGTTAATCGGGTGTGATAGAATCGCGATACTGGCTCCAATGTGCCACCTGTATAACAAACAGGAAGAATAAAGCAACATGTTGCAGCATTAATTACGTTTTTATCATGTAGGTGAAACATCTGGTATGTTTGAAGATAATCCTCGGATCATTGATTTTGTGCTTCGTCATAACAAAAATACAAACAGCCTGTACAGCCGGTGCATCTACAACAAAAGGTGTAGATTATGTTTAAAATTCAATATACATGAAATTACAGAAACATAAAATTGCAATGACCACGCTAAGCCTCTTAGTAAGTAGCTACTATATATCATTTGTTGCATATTAGCTCTCTGCAAAACGGATAAGTAGCAAGAAGACTAATACACATACGAGACTGGGGTTCGCTAGGTCTTCGTTACAAGTACCCACACAATCATACCATTGTCACCTACTATGTGTAGGATTGAAAATATGGTACTTTACGAGCTAAGCAGGAAAACTGACTGTATAGCATTCAATAAAATTAAATTCTGTGTTATGTTGTCTACGCAATGCAAGATTAAACGAATATGTACTCAAATACAAACCATAGACACTCATTTCCCTGTTACCATATTCTTCACTGTAATATATACGGTGTTGAAATTATTAATACAAAATCTAGGACTCAACAACACTAGCCTGTTCCCCAGAGGAAAAACTATATAATTTCTGCAGTTATTATGATCCAACTGTCAGTAAGATGGTTGTTTTAAGTGTTTAAAACTCCCTTTATGTATCAAATGCTAAATTCTAGTGCCTGCCAATAAGTGGCAGCTATTAGTAGTATTAGTTGTACCTACCTTCAGTCTGGAGCTAAAAACTTTTCCAAGATGGCGACACAGTGGGCATGGCTATATGCCCATCCCAGCAGCCCATCCCCTCCCCCTCCCCAAGGAGAAATGTAACAATGCAACTTTGCTGCACATATGTTGTCTGTCGGCTTTTGTTTTGGAGTGTGTGCTGCACAATCTCAGTCTAACTGGGTCAGAGGTCGGTTTCAGACGAGCGGTTGAACAGGTTGTTGTTATGGGTCAATAGGCAGGGTGGGTGATACTGTAATTCTTTATTTTTTTTACAGCACTTTTATGTTTACCGCTTTCACGGTCACATTTGTACTGTAACTTTAACATTATCGTTATCAAATCGATATCATTTGCCTTTGGCCCTCCTGTCCCTTGGTAGGAGGGCCTTAAGGGTCAACCTCCGGAGGGCCAACTCTTAGACTGGGAAATTTCGCTACAGTGAAGACAAGGTGGATTACAGTAATTTGTGTTCACGTGGTCGTGTGCATGGCGGTATCCCTTGAAATTTCAATGTTCACATCTGAAAACTTTTAAGTATAGTCTTTTCTTTAAATTAGTAATATTTTTTCGTCAGCTAATCATATGAGCAATAACAGACCTTCCAAACTATTCTATGGCGCCAAACTGTAGAACAACCTGTCACCAAAGCAACGTACAACGTGGGACTCGTAAAATTTGTTGAGGAATTGTGATGTCATGATCGAAATGAGAGGTGAAATTGTGTTAGTTTTTTGTTGCTGTTATGTCATTCTGTATTATATGCGATACCGTAATATTGTAAACTTTTTTGTGTGCGTATGTATTGTACTTTGTAAACCCAGCATTGCTTGAAAAACTAGGTTGTTATGTACCTGAGTGTTACTGCTGGTGAAATAAATAAACTAAAACTGAATTTATCTGGATTCCAATTTTTCTTTCAATTCGACCTTAATTGCATGGTCAGGTTTCTAGCCAACCTGGTGAACTAATCAGAAAATAAACAAGCAACATTTGCAAAGTCACCACCTTTTTATTGCATTATGATGTAATCTCAGCTACATTTATTTACATGATTTGAATCAAGATTTTTGCAACATTTTGTTGTATTTACATATTAACACTTACGTTTCTTAGCCTGTACCCTGTGTTTGGGCCATTGGTCAAATCCAGGCAATTTTATGGCTCATTCTTCAATCGGTTTTCAAATCAAACAGAGAACTGAATATCATCATACAGTTAACTATTAAATCCGTATGTCTATCTTTTAAGTTAGTTGTTTAGGTGATGCAACAAACTCGGCATTTCAAAATGCTTTTTTGATTTCTTGTCTTCAAAATGGCAGGTTTATAATTACACATCTACTGCATGGCATCGCTTTTCATTCAATTCTAGGGAAGGCATTACATGTATTAGAATTGCACCTAATTCCTCCTTTGAATAAGAATGACATTGCTTTTAGTTTGCAGTACTGTGTGTTCGTGTATTCTGATTAGTCCAGCAGGTACCACAGTGTGACAGTAAAACACCAGAAGAGTTCTGTATTCTGATTAGTCCAGCGGGTACCACAATGGAACACCAGAAGACTTCTCTAGGATTTCCGTCAAGTTCCGTCCGACATGTGACCCCAGGGTGACCTTTCCTAGCATCTCAGTGTGCAGGTCCAACCGCTGGCAGACAGAGATGATCAGACCAACCTAAAACAAAACAAACGTCATTTGTCAGTTCTTTGTACTTTTCGTTGACAAATCAATTTACCAAGACCAATTCTTACAATTGTCGCCAAAAGGTTGTCATGTTTTATGCCCTGTCAAACTGTTGTACAATTCATTTTAGTTTTTTTTTTTTATTCTGAAGAATTGTGAATATTACAAGTCAAAGTAAAAAATAAAGTTTAAGTTTTTGTGTTTGTTAACATGGGCAGTGGCGACCTCTAGCAGTCTAAAACTATAATGAACTGCCCGGAAGGCAACGTCCAGAAATGTTCCACAAGGGCAAAGGTCACCATTTCCCGCAGGCGCAGAAGGCCTTGGCCTATTTTGAGTAATTTGTGAGCGCTTCAAAACAACTGTAAATAGCCTTCTTTGCATATCTTGCTGATGCTGTTGTGTTTGGTGGTGTTCAGGGATGTCAGAGATCATTCTGGCCATCCTACGACGAGGTTGTGCCGATACAACAATAAGAATTTGGAGGTAAAGCTACCCTGTCAAATTGATAATGTGAATTTTCAACAGTTGAACAGTTGAGTAGGTGATTTTTGACAGCTCATTTCTTAGATGCTTACCATATATTTTAATTGGAGCTTAAAATATTTGTCTGTGCCCACAAGAAACTTACCTGATTGACTCCCCAGAGCGACACGTCGAATGTGAAGTTCTCCCTGAAGACAGGGTCGAAGCTGCCCCGCTGGGCGGCGGTCCGGTGGGACATCAGGATTTGGTTCCCCCTCACCAGAGACACACGTAAGTTCAGAAGAACTAAAAGATAAAAAGAAGAAATAACAGATGATAAGGGGATCCAATCTTTACAGCAGTGGGTTATAGCTTATTCTTTGACGAATTAACATTAGGAATATGACGCAGAAGACTTGCTAGCTATGATTATAGCGAACCCGTGATTGGGAATTGTTGCAACAGTTAGAGAATTTTAGGGCGGATCTAGGAGCGCATTCCATGTGTTAAAAGAAAAACACTCGTGCTAAAAACTTAATTCTAGGCGCTCCTTGAGTTGCCAATATATACACAATTGTGGTTTATGATTTATTTAATTATGACATGCTACACTTTACCTTGTTTTATATGGTTTTGGCACATGAGTATTGTTTGACCTGTATTTGTCCTGTGCGTTGGTGGCGGCATAAAATAAGTTGAAGAAAACTGTGTGCGCCGTCATCATGTGTTGCCATAAATTGTTGGAAAAAAATATATATCTTGCAAGTTTTACGTACCGTCTCTCTGTGTCACGGCGCCGCAGCTCGGTGGAAGGTGCAGGAACAGGGCAGGATTGGCGTTCCGTGCCTGGACAAGCTCCACGTCCAGCAGCTGTCTGGTGGAGTCGTACTTCAGAGTAACCAGCAATTCACTCTTCTCTTCTTCAGACGCACGCTGAACGATAAAAAAGATAGAGGTTTTTGAAACAACATTAAAGGCACCCAATGCAATTTCATGGCGGCAAAAACTAACAAATCTTTACGAATGATCACAACAAAATATGCAGCTGAAATGCTATCAGATATTGCTTACCTTCGCACATGGGCGTAGGTCCTCCCATATCTCGCCAAAAGGTATCTTCCCCAAGAATAGGTCTCGAAATGGGTAAGTCACTTCTCCAATCACAGTTGGCTTGGAATAGACGTCTATGCGGACAACGTTCAGTTTCAACGTCACGTCCCACAACTCGCTCACGGGAACCTGATATGACGTCTTCTCGGAGAACTGAGGATTGAACGTGTTTCTTTGCACTGATGTTCTAAAGCGCCGCCCATCTGTATGAAGGCGTACTACACTGACGTAAGTTCCAGCAGCTTCCTTCTCGTCGCCCCTAGAGGGGGGTAGGTTCTTTGCTCCTAAGACTGTTACATACAGCCTTTCTTCTCGCCTGCTGTACTCAAGGCTGAAGCCAACTTTACCCATAGCTCTGGGATAATCGTCTGAAAACCTTTCGACTGAGATGTGCTTGTAAATCCTTGGCGTTAAGCCGACCGGTGTGCCGTGATCTGCTTCGACTGGAAATCGGGCATTTGGCTGTACAGCAACTTCTTGCACGATGGATTTGGAGGCATTTTTTTCTGGATCTGGATCAATGACGTCATCATCGTCCGAACGTTCTCCCAGCATGCTTTGCCGCAAGGGCGAGGATGCCCTGGGAACGTGATATGTTGTCTCCTCGACTCCTTTGGAAGAGTTCTTGCGACCGATGTAGTTCTGCACGGCGTTGAGAGGAACTTTTAAAGACAGACCAAATATCTGTGATTTCGAGATCCATTGATGTACCTTCGAGTTCTCTTCCTTTCCGTTCCAGGGCGAATGTTTCTCCACGTGTGAATGTCTGAGAGGTGGGACTTTTTCTTCCATGCCAGGTTGTCTCCATTGGTCACAATAACACCGTACAAGACAGATGACAATGATGATGATTATCAGTAACATGATGATCCCCATCATCCCCAGGATGGCGCTTGCAGATGCTGCGATGGCCATGCTCATCTCAGATTTAGAACAAATTGGCTCTCAAAAATGTTAGTTCGTTTGGTCTTTTTCCTTCAAGTACGCAGGAGACCCTTTTTGTTGAGAAGTCGCAAACAGTTCAATGCAAACTGAAAGAACAAAAAAAAAACATCGTTAAAAAAATTACAATTCAAAATAAGTGCTCTTAGATCTCATACCCTCATGAAATATTAGAAATATTGCTTTTGAAAACACTGATTTTAAGTGAAAATGGTAATGATAATTCTAGGTTACATAGGAAAGATGTACCATTGTAAGCAAAACCAGAGAAATGATGTGATTAATTATCTAAGAATACAAGTAAGCCTGCGAAGGAAATAACTTTTTTGCGGCACAGTACAAGTACAGTTTTTGCTGAGTACAAGGGAGTCTGTCTGGGTGCCATGCCTGATAAAAGGGACGAATGTTGCCTGCAGGCACACATTGAACAAAAAAGACTCAGCTGAACCCATTATTTGAGGTCAGTGACCTACGAAGCAAAAGTAAGATTACACCACTCTATTTTAAAGGGGATGTAAATTTTTAAAAGTTGAAAAAAAAACACTGCAGATCTACAACAACAAATGCAAGCTAAACGTAAAGACACAGCGACTACCCACATACCAAAAATAGTTGAAATCCATTCAACGGTTCTTGAGATCATTAGCTGAAAAGAGAATCAAAATTCAAACGACCCTGCAGGTCCCCAGCAAACAGCTAGGGGTTTAAATTTACACAACTAAACCATTATCTATATAATTGTATGCCGGTATCAGGACAATTCGGCCCCTGGGACAACTACATGCCACCTTAACATCACGTCAACAGACTGTCCAGCGCCAAAGATATTGAAAAAAAATCCTACTGCAGTTCCAAGGTCAAACACCGGAGTATCAAAGTCAACCCACATAATCCACTTCACCTCATCTACCCACTGGCCAAATATCATTGCATTCAGTCCGACGGATCTCATAAGATATATATACCAATACATCATCAAGATAAAAAACAGACACCTTCCTACTTCATGGGGGTGAATAACCATGTTATAGGTACCACATTTGTCTGTACATTTGTTGTCTGATAATTGGTAGCATCATCTAAATGTGTTTTAGTGCCCCTTTTTGTACAGTATGGCATGTTTGAATAAATGAGAATAAACTACTGAACAACAAAAAAAAAACACTATCCCTTAATATAATTAAACACCTAATAATTTGCATATGGTACTGCCCTCCCCAAACACACATTGTAAACAAGTAATTTTATTCTTGTTGGAATAGCATGGCATAACGTTACGAATCACCTGTATATACTGAACGACATAAAAGAAACCCACTAGCCCATGTATGAAATTAAACACCTAAGTAATCTGCATATGATACAGTATACATACCCCCTCCCTAAACACACATTGTAAACAAGTTGTTTCATTCTTTTTGCAATAGCAAGGCATAACGTTACGAATTACTTCGATGATAATGAAAGAAAAACAACCTGCTTCAAACTCGACTTCTAAAACCTGACAATGATACACATTACAACTAGCACTAATTGATAAACACCCTCTATATATGCCTTGTTGTCTTGAACAAAGTCTTATCGAAACTGTTGTCATTTTTATAAAAAATAAATATCTAAAGATTTTACCTGAGGTCTGCTGTCACGTTTCGTCTTCTGACAAAGAAGTTGAACAATAAGTGTGAGAAGTTCTCCTTGTGAAACGGCTCTACAGAATAATTACACTGCAGGGCAACAATGTCCTCCAAATCCAGGTGGAACAAACCAAAAGTTGCACAAGGGGGTGCACGTTGCAGGTGGCACTTCTTTAAGCTTCGCTTTTTTCAGTGCCAAATTTTGGGTTCAATCTTTAGTGTCCACGTCGTAATTTTTAGACACGATTGACGTCAAGGAAAATCGAAGTACTTCATTTAACTTTATGTTTTATGCTTTCTACAATATTAGAGATGGAGTCTTCCATTGTTACCAATTTCAAAATGGCCGACTGGAGGATTTCAATAACCTGTTTGGCGGGTTTTCACGCCCTACGTGTGACCCCCTGTGGCAAGGATTCCTCCGCAGACAACACGGTGCACTAATACGTGTCTACCTTTCTGAATGTATATCAGGGTTCAAAATGTGTTAACGGCTCTATGGTTCATAGGAAACACAAATTGAGATCTTTAAGAATGTATGGTAAAAATATAGCAACACATAGAATGTTAATGTTTGTTCTTATGACAATTATGTTACCAGATTGCCAAAACCAATTAAAATGAGCGAGTCAGGGTTAATTACTGGGGGAGAACGAGTCAGTTTCTGATTGGTCAACAGAATGAGTCCGCTTAAGGGGTCGCAGCAGGATGTCCCATTTTAGACCACCATTTCAGTTCATTGACCGAGAAGTGTCCTTCTTGTTATTCAATGCAAAGCCTTGGTTGGGCCACATCTATAATATGGAGCTTATGCCTGTTCCCCCTACAGTACAAACAAATAAACCTAAGTGTCTGAGATTGAACGAATCCAAAAAAGGGCAACGAAACGAGTCCTTGGGCTTAGCAACTTGTTGTAGGAGGACAGCTAGACTCAAGTCTCTAAAGTTTCCAACACCAGTCTACAGATCAACACATTTAAGTACCTGAATGGATTGTACGATACAGCTAATCCATTCAAACAAAAACTGAGTCGAGAACAAGAGGTCACTGATCTTGAAGATAATGAAAAATCTTTCCAGAATGACCAACAGAATGACTTCTTGGTGGAATAGTCTACCAGAGGAAGTGGTGTCGGCATCCACTGTGAACTCTTTTAAAAATAGGCTGGATAAACACATGGAGAATCACCCAGTTATGTATGACTACCCGGCCGTGGACTGTCCCCATAGGCCGGAAATGATGATCCGGTGAAGAAACGAGCGGCCTCAACTGGAAGGGAACTTCGTACCTGGTTGAACTTGAAATGATCTACTATCTTAACGTTACTAACAAATGGTTCACATAGGAAATAGTGTCAGACACGTTCAATGTTGTTTTTCTACATTTTAATAGCAACATTCATCAATTTACATAGAAACATCCAAGATAAGAATAAGATAACACTCAGGAGATATACATTTCACAGCGCTATCTCTTATACCATGAATGAGGAGGGGCAGTGGTATGGTGTTTGTTTTGATAGTTATGCATAACAATGTCGCTAGGTGGCATCCCGTCAAAGTGTCAAAATAGTTAGCGTCGTCGTTTGCTGGTATTGGCCCCGTTGTCTAACGTTTAAATGTTCAGCTTTCCAACATGATGGTTCAGGCAGTTAAGATACATAGTTTACGTAGTTGTTCTGCTTTCAAGCTTGTTGCTTCAAAATTTAATTCATAACTGCTACTTTTTTGTTCCGACTTTAGCACCAGGCGTTTTCCCCGAAAGCTAGGGTCTTTAAAAGTTTAAGTCTTGTTAAAAGCTTATGTAATACCGGATCGTCTTTCCTCAGCATATAATATATCTGTGCACACCTAAGCCAAAAGAAGGAAGGTTAGTGTAACTGTTACAGCTTTTATTAGAAAGATACCTTCGACAGCTCTTTCGCGTTTTCTTTCAAGAAATAAATAAGACGTACTAGCTTTATTGAAAAAACTGCAAATGGCTTTCTTTACACTGTTGTTATCAATTTTCCCATTTGGCCTCTTAACATGTTGTAATGTAATCAAACGCCAGTCGCCTCTATTTTCTGATTTCATAAAGTGTTAGTTTGATGGCTTTTTGCTTGATGCAGGAGTAGAGGGGGAATGCATATGGCCCGCACTAAGAATTGGAACTACACGACGGCAAGAGTTTAAGTACTAAATGCTAGGTCTACCATAGGAGACACAGTCTTTAAATTCTGTACACACTGAAAGACGTTCATAGTGAATATTCCAATATCGCCATATAGAATTACAATTAGAACTAGCTTGTACACGTAATGTTTATGCAGCATTTTTTTCACTCTTTTACAATCACAACATTAAAACATGACACATTTTTCTGTCGTATATACCATACTAACAATAGATATGCAATAGGCTGTTTCTAGTACCGACTTTGCAGTAGAAGTTTCATTACATGCACGTTTGCGCATATCGAATGTAATATACAAACAGTTGCATATTCACGAATAAATGTGCTTTTCTCTATCTTTCATATCAGTTTAAGCTTAAACAAATGATGATGCCATAATTCAAACACGTCTTCGAATGAGCCTGAGTATCATAAAATGTGATTTCTCTGCAATCTACTATATTTTATCTAATAACATTATGGATACCTTACCTGATATACATAAACTATTATCCCCTAATTGTATATACTCGTAAACTTCTCATTCGCTTAATGCTTGATACTTAAATGAAAACTCTACGATATTTCGCTGACAAATTCTACAACCAATCGACCTTGATGTATTGCATTCATTTATGATTTGTTATTATTCAAAATGCCCCGTATGCATTTTCCTTATAGAAACAAGGCTTTTTTAGGATGACTCGCAATTGTACCAAGATGGTGGATTCGTTTGTAGTTCCCTCTATAGATACGTCATAAGTTCTTTCCTTTTTCATATCATCTATCTATATAGCGTAGACAGCTAAATATACATATTACACAATAAATATGCATAGATTTACATATAAACATTCATTATGTCCCATTCATGATATCATGATGGAACCTATATTCTTCTTTCTAACTCGTTAGAGCTGTACTTTCACGATTTTTATCTAAAATCTTATGACACATACAAGTACACGCACCGTAGAGATGTTGCCCGTAATCACTTATTCTTGGCCACAGCTGACTACACAAAGTAACTAAATACATAAAGTTTTACTTTTCCTTGAGAAAAACTGTAACAGGGTCATAAAGTATGGGGTTTTGATTCCTTTTTTTGCATCATGTTATTGTAGCTTGACTCATGGAAAGGACGCTTGTACGGCATTGAGAGAAACGATACACAACATTGAAAATAATCACGCTTATGCTTGCTTCTTGCATTTCTTTCTACAACTCCTGGCCAAATTTATTTGAAAATAAGATAGAAGACCTCAAGTTATTACGTTTTTCTTTATAACTTTAGCAATTCTATGTACTATGCTCTAATGGCCAAAGAGTCGAAAACAGTACGTATATATATCTAACAGTGTTGCAAACGTTTACACCGTTAATATTACGCTGAAAATCATAGTCACACAAACCCGGTAGTGTACTCAGGATTACCCAATCACGTTTGCGCCATTGCCCCGTCTGTGATTGGCCCATTGGTCGTGTCGTCATCATCTCTGCTCTTCTGCTTCCTGATTGAATTGTTTTCTCTAGCCATGGCGCAGGGGAACATGGGAAGGCCCAACTGATGACCGTCGATTCCGTTCGCCATCTTGGAATCACCGTTGATGTCGACCTTTCTGAGGTCCATGACTGGGGAAGGAGGATGGTTGACCTACGTTTTGGTGACACAAGAATCAAGAAAATAAGACAGATATACCCATATGCGTACGTGTGTTTTGATCATTTGTGAAGAATTACCATCTTTTTCCGACATAGTAGAGCTACAGCATCTCAATGACAGTTATAGATCTTTATGTTTCGTACTGCTACGAGGGTCCACATCACTTTCATATTTACAAAACTGCTATGACGTCTTTGATGTAGTTCAAACATTTATTTACTGTACAGGTAGATTCTTGTAATTAATAGATAACCACATTGTCTTGTTTATACTCAGTTTTCTTTTACCCACTTTGTAATTATATGTGTACTTAAGTCATTGTATTTTAATATTATTTTATGTTTGTGATTAGAAGACGTCACATAGGCAATCTGTGCTTTTTGTCGAATACTCAATAAATATATTTGAATAAATAGAAACAAAAGAAAATAAATAGATAAATAATAGGGAAACTGACCTTGAGACACAGATGCTGCATATCGTCCAGGGCCTGACGGAGGGCGTCTGTAAACATCTCAGAGTTGGATTCTACACAGTCTTTAAATGAAGACAAACAGAAGAGAATGTAGTCGTCATGTGGGTTGTAGCAGGCGCCGTACCCATTGTTCACTACAGGCCCGTAGCACATAAAGGCGTCCATTGTTGTTGGAACCTGTGTGAAATGATAGAACAGAATCTTAATTTTTTTATGTGTAAGAATAATTTTCTTGTTCATATGAGCGTTTTTATGTGTAATAACAAACAATACAAAACTTACAGATGTTTACAAGTACCTTGCAACTAAAAAGGTTAAAAACAACCACATGCAGATAACTATATTCGAATTCCAATTGTATGCGCATGGCCAATAGAAGGAAAGCAGGTACACTATCGGAAAATTTTAATATTCACATGTATCATTACCTTAGCAGTGGTGAAGACTCTCTACAAAAAATGAGAAATATACTAATATAGTAAGAGTACATTTTGCAGTCATTGGAACTTCGTAATAGTCTTCGGCTAAAGCCCCCCCCCCCATCCACCAGCCGTTAAAGATTGCCGATATTTTTGTTTGGAGAATCGAAGTCGTTGATTCAGTACCTGGCTTGTGGACAGCACGAACTTGTTAGTGAGATCAAACGACCCATCCGTGAAGATGTCTGGCATAGGCATGTCCATCATGGCCGCCATTTCCTTCAACCCCAGCAGGTGGCAGTCTATACCCTGGCCTTTGAGCGCCTGTAAATCAGCATACAGTTAACACTTATTATTACCTTCCTGAAAAATGGAGTCATTGTTTGTGGTCTTTCAAATTCCTATTGGGT